TTCCATGTCATAAAGGCTTAGTCATGTCTCTTGATCAAGCAATGAGCTGGTGCCCTGACACACAGTGGCTATTGTGAGCATTGTCAATGCCAGAGAATGGTATCATGGCACACTGGATTGCAGCCGCCACTGAGCTGGCAGAGATGGAGGTATTGAAGTCAGGAGACAGATGGTGATCAGAAGAAATGATGGGTTCAGAGTTGGCAGCACTGGCAAGCTCCAGATGTGCAGTTGGATTGTCAGAGACTGCAGAGCTGCTCCACAAGCAAGCAGCAGTACCACTACCCTGTAGGCAGGTAGGGGGTGTGGTGCTCCACAGGCAAGTTCCACTAAGGTAATTGTGTTGGTTGACAAAATGCATAATGCTGGCAGATCTCAAGTCATGGATCTGTTTCTTGTCCCATCTTTGTTCTTGAACAGACTCACATGGCTGCATCAGCCCCCAGGAATGACTTCACTGAGGGCCACTCAGAATTTGCCAAGGAATTGCAATGCCCGGATCTATAACAATGGTGAGTGCTACTTCAAAGTCTCTGTAGAGGAGGGGCGCACCCATAGCAGCAGCAACATGCATGTAGTTGTGCATGACACTGAGGTGTGGGCTCAGATGCCCTGTAGTTCTCCCCTGCATACTAACAAGAATGGGTTGCGCCCTAATGGATAATTGGGTGAGTCCTACTAATGAGGGCAAAAAAGTGACTTACAATGAATTCAGTGGAAGATTGTTGAGCTGGACTACTAAAGACATTGTGTTGAGGTAGGTGATGGATAGCATTGACCTCAAGGACAACAAGCAGGGGGCTTTAGGTCAGCCAGTGCTAGGCCATTTGTGTCCGCTGCACAGCAGTACTGACAAGCATGTGACTACAAGTGCCCATAGAAGTACCCATATATAGCTCCCATCATGCAGAATCTACAATAGAAATTCTCTGCTGTTTTTTCAGTTGTCTTCTCATTTCACTAGCTGACATCTATTAACCCAGTATCAAGACCTGAAAAACCTGGATAATATTGTGATCCATACAGTATTAGCAATGTTCTGTCAACCAACACAATTACCTTATGGCATGAAGGTAACTCTGCTATACTCTCAATACCATCACTTTATCAGTGCTCGAAACTCAGATTATTATAAATTTTGGCATATACAACAGGACTGGAATGATAATCATGGGAAAGGAACAAAGCAGTGGAAGCGAATGCCTCATGGCCAACCCCCTATCTTATTTGATGAACTCAGGCTTCACTCTTCTGCCATCTCTCTCTCATACCACCATCAGCTATCAACATGTCTACTGTTATCAACTCTGATGCCAATTTCAATCCCTGCCTCCATTGCCTCTACTATGCAACACTCTGCCAGCTCCCCTTTCAGCAGTGTGAATGACTTCTCAGGCAATGTCAAGCAGACTGTGAGTGTTTGGTGCTCTGTGCTGAACAATGCTTCCTGCAGCAGCACATTGGACAGCAACATGCCCAAACTCTCCAAGAATGAGAAGAAGGAAGATGGTGCAAACCATGAGGATGACAAGAAGAAAACAAAGGTGATGAAAGGCAAGGAGAAGGGCAAGATTTGCCTGGAGGTTGTGGAGCAGGAGAGACAGGGTGAAGGCAGCAGTGAGCCCAACAGCATGGGAGTTGTCCTCACTCCTGGTGAGTTGGTGCTGTTCAAGAAGATCCTGGATTTGGCGGCAAAGAGGTATGGGATGGATGCAGGTCTGACAAAGACAACCTTCAAGGTGTTGAAGGATGGTGGAGTGGTAAGTACTACCGGCCAAAGCCAAACAATTCCTCAGGTGCTGTATAGTACCTAAGGTATTCATGTTGGTTGACGGAATACCAAGCATACAGACCATTATTGACCCCAAATCAGGTCTCTATCAAAGGGAACAATACTCTTGCTATCACTGAAGGGGAGGGAGAGGAGATCTCCCATTTGGGTAAAGATCTCGCTGCCAAACCTGCAAAGAAGACAGATTTGGCCACCATGACTGAAAAAGAATTCCAAGCAGAAGAAGCACGCCACAGGAACATGGGCATCTGGTTCGGATCCAATGAGGAGGCTAGCAGGCTCACCAAGCACCATTTCAAGACCAAAGAGGGTAAGAAGATCATCCTTTGCCATGAGCATGAGAAGAGGATGCTCCAAGCCTGGAGGGAAGGCCACAACCTTGGTATGCTCAAATCAAGGGAGGCAGATGCCCAACGCAGGAGCAAAGTGGTTGTCATGCTCAAGGTCTGCATGGACAACTTGTGCATGTGCTTTGCCTATCGCAATGATGAGGTGAAGAAGTGGATACATCAGAAGAGTCAAAGGTCTGTCAAGCTGAGCAGGGCGTCCTGGAAGGCAGTCAAGTCCTGGGTCAAGGGGCATGTGAAGGATATTGCCTGTGTCATTGGCATCATGGGTAAGTTTTTGCTCAACTTTGCAGTATAACTATGCTCATTGTGGCTTCAGGTTTATCAGCAATCCTCAAGCTGTTGGGCTACAGAGAACCAGAGCACATGGTGCATGACCTGCTGGGGTTGGGAGAAGCTGAGCAGGTGACCAGAGAGATTTGGGATGATGTCAAGGGGGGTGGGGAGCCCCCCCTTGTCTAATACACTAGGACTGCATATGACATTTCCTGTATGATATTATACCTGCACACTAGCACTGACAATGAAATAATTGTGTGGGTCCATCAACCAACACAATTACCTTATATGAGGCTATTCAAGCTGGCTTGAGGGCTTGGTAACACATTATTTAATGTCATCCAAGGTGGACCAGATGGTCTTTCTCAGGCTTAACATTGCCTGAGCAAGACCATTTTTACATAAAACCTAGTTTATGCTATTCCAGACAACCAATCTAAAGCTATAACCCTGTCCAGCCAATTTTGCCTATTCTGATATTCAGTCCAGGTGACTAAACCCTGTCTTGTCATACCTGCACTGCCCTAGGCAAAGTACCTGTGAAATGCAGTGACTGAGATCTGTGCCATGGCTCCCCCTTGTCCGCACTTTTGCAGCCCTCTGATTGGGTCAAACAGAGAATTGACGGCTCCGACTAACGCACAGCCACTGCACAGCCACATTACGCTGGCGTCCTTAAAGCTAAAAAAAAAAATTATCGTATTGTGATTTAGTTGAAATATGTCAATATTATGTTAATGTAAGAGTAGATTTCAATCGCAACTTGTTCGAGGTGAAATGAGCTCCAAATGATTATTTTTTTTCAATGTTAGGGTTCTCAAGTTGGACTTCGCCGTTTTCGCGAACAAGGGGGGGGGGAGAGGTGGGGCAGTTTTAACTGAGGATCATGGATGTTTACACCAAGACCATCTCTTTACACACGAAACCATATCTAGAACCGCTAATACTAATACCGATTTACACGCTAGAATTTGTCTGAAAAAAACGAGCCCGATCTCCCATTGTTCACAGTGCATCCATACCCCAGCCTGCCCAGACCAGTTTGAGCTCGTGGTACTTCGTAAGGACGAGTGTGGCGTGTTGACTGAGGAAGCGCCTCTCCGACCTGGAATAGATATAGCTGCACACAAGCCGGCCTTCTCATTACCCTAAAGCGCACCTTCTCATTCCTCCCCGTTTCCCTCCGGCCTCTCCCTCCACAGAAGCAATCTCCAAATCTCCAGACCCTCCAAATCCTCCCTTACCATCCCCGCCCTTTCCCAAACCCTCAGCACCTTCCCCTGTCCTACCCTCTTCAGTCTAAACCCCAGGTCTCTCGCTTCCCCCAACGCGCGATCTATGAGCTCCGGGTCACGTCGCTCGAGGCAGAGGAGCACGGGGCAGGAACGCTTTCCCCGGAAGCTGGCGGAAGCGAGTTGCTTGAGCGTGGTAAGGAGGGGAGTGACAAGAGAAGGAGAATAGAGCGTGTCGGCGGAGAGGATGAGGTCGTACGGCGGCCCCCCGGCCACATTTCCCTCCGCATCCTCATCCTCGGTTCTCCACTGAGCAAAGTCCAGCGGTTCGAGCCAGTCAACCGCCCTGACGGTGACTCGCCCGGACACGGGGTTGAGCTGGAGGTTTGGACCTAGGGTGTGTTGTACGATGAAGCTCGTGTCGGTAGCATCGACGTCCCAGCCCATGCTAGCCAGAGCGAGAGCCGTAAGGCCCGTACCGGAGCCTAACTCGCATGCCCGAGGTCGGCGAGCATGAACGTCCGAAGAGGGGTGTACAGGGAAATCAGCAGCGATCCAGAGAGGCAGGAGTTGCCCGCCTGTCCAGAGGGAGGTGCCGTTCGATTCCGAGGAGACGGACTGATGCAGCTGGAACGTCTGGTGTCGGAAGGGGATCATTAGGAGGGAAAGATGCTTCGTTTGGTGGGCAGGGAGCATCGGGGAATGTAGAGCTGAGTCAATACATTTTTGGGGAGGCGGATGCACGTATACGATTCCGTTAATCCGGACCTTGGCCGTCTCCGCTAATTAAACTGAGTGATTCGTATAAACACGGTAAAAGTTTGTCCACAACCTCCAGGTTGATGTTGATTCACATATCGGTATTTCGCTCTAGCATCGTATGCATGGATATGGGGAGGAAGAAAACTATGACAAGGTTGGAGGCGCACATGATGACAGTCCCTGTGACTATAAGGGGCGGACCAAGCACTGCCATCTGTGGCCTTCAATTCTCAGAAGTAAACGACCATCATCACAAAAGCTATTAACCTTTTCTAAACTTCAATCCTCTTATAAACTTGTAAATACTTCGCGCTTTTTCTAGTGTGTCGCTGCAAGCAGTTGATTAACCAGCTCAACACTCGTGGGCAATTGCCATGAGCACCCGCAACGGAACACGTGCTCACGCAACTCGGACGCGTCGTCCCGGATGGAACGCGTCAAAAGACTGTACAGTGATCCATCCACGACTGTGACATCCATCGCCGACTTCGCTGAGTTTAGTCCGCTTCTCTTCCTCTACGATATTTGTGCTCGTCGCCAATGAATCACGTTTCTCCTCCCCAGGATCCTCAACTCTCGGGTCTGTCCAATCAGCAACCACATAGAACTCCCAAGGCCATCCATGTTCTGTATGACACCCCAAATCGACCGTCTTCGGGAGAGCTGCCGCCTGGAGAACAACGTACGATGATGCACGCTCTGTCCTCCGAGCTTAGTGGCGCGACTCGCTGGGCTGACTGGATCAGCACGGGCTTGCTTACGGTCGACATGAATGCGGCACGACATACCATCCCCAGCCCGCTCATAACGAAAGCGCTGAAAAAAGTTACAAAGCCGAGGGAAGGACCCGAGCGTGCATACTATCCCTCCATTACCGGATTCTTGAACACGGTTCTCCAGGTATACGAGTCGGCCTTGCCTGCGGGATCCAACACGGACAATTTGCGATTCTATGTATATGATCGGGTGATGCAAAGCTCGCGAGCGTCACAATACCTCCTCAAGCCTGATCTCCTAGCTGGCTCCCATCCTCCGCCACAACAAGGCAAGGCGAAATGGAGGGATTTCCCAATCTATGCCAAGGTGAAATCTTCCATTACTGATGCCGTCATCCAAGTGGCGACTTAGGCCAATTGTGCTTTCGAGGCATCTCCCCAGCTCATCTGCGTCAGGTGCCTCGTGTATGATCACGCGACTCAGACGATTCTTTTTGTCCTCTTCACTCGTGGTGGAATGATTGGATCACCCCAGTACAGCTTCAGGGTCGAGTCTGACTTGGCTGGCATCATCCACCATACCATTGCCCTCGTGTACGGTCGAAATTCCAACCTCGCAGATCTGACACACTTGAAGAAGAAAGGCATCGTCGAATGTGATGCTAACATTTATCGCATCGAACATACTATATGCCATCGAGCTGGCATAAGAAGTCGGCAGACATGTGTGATGGTTGTGTCCAAGGTTCGCTCGGCAGCAGGACCCAGCATATTAGAATCCTCCGGTCAGTCCTCACTCGTTAACGCCACTGCCGAACCGTCGGATGTCCCAGCAGTTGCGAAGCCGAATCTCGTACAATATCCCCCTGACGTGAATGCCAGTCCAGCAAGTCCGCCAGCCCTGCGATCCAGCCGAATACCGATGCGGAAGGTCTCTGCCTACCCAGCAGATGAAGCACTAGCAGCTGGATTGTCACAGTTGCCCATCGATCTGCCGGCAGCTGCAACCGGAGGTCGACCAACTCGCATACCAATCTTCAAGGGCTCCGTGACTCGCCCAGGTATACCCTCACAACAGAGCCCTCCATGCCATCGTCGCAATCAGCCAGAAGAGCCGGTGGTATATCTCTCGCCCAATACTCGCGCAGCATACTCTTTGAAAACCGATAGCACTGTTCATCAGGGTGTATCCGGCAAGCGTCAGAGACGATCTATGACCAGAGCCCAGCAAAACCGCCGAACAACGAGACTGGATGTCTCCAGCAGTCTCTCTGGAGCTACCCGATCTACAATATCACAAAGCCTTCGCACATCAACGGCTGTCAATGCAGTTCATTCGAGGACGATAGCAAGCAGAGTGCATGGCTGCTTCGTAGAGATGATCTCTGATGTTCAACAGTCAGATCTGCGGATCTTGAAGATCAGTTGCCCTCACGCTGACAGAGCAATGGAAAAAGACATGTTTGAGGCAGCACAAGGGCACTTTGGTATACCCCGTCTGGAAGCGGCCTGGTTGGCCAAATCATCGAAAGGAGGACTTCTCACAACAAACCCTTTGCGAGGTCTTGAGTCAACTGAATGGACGATTTTTGATAAAACCAAGAACAAGTACGAGCTTGACACTCGAATTTACTCATTCCTTCTGTTCAAAACCATCGGTCGACCACTCAGAATGGCGGAAACACCGGCTCAGCTTGTGCGTGCCGTCATGCATGCAATGCTTGGCGAGTCGTAAACGTCCGACAAAGAAGCCGTGCTGACACATGACCAAGGTTATGATAACTTATATGAGCTTGGTTATTGGCATCGCGATGTCAGCATTGCCAACGTGCTCCTGGTGGATGAGTTTGAGTGCAAACCCGTGCCTCGGTATGTAGTCTATCATGCAGCTCCTTCATTACACTGAGGCATGTTATTCAGAACGGAGTTTGAGAACATGCAAGGGGTCACGCACTGCATTGGTGTGATCATTGACGGTGATCATGCTATCAGATGCGATGAGGATCGGCTCCCGTATGATGATCTCTCGGTAAAGCAGCACCAACGAGATTATAAACAGAGAGCTCACTCATCAACAGGGTACATTGCCATTCATCTCCCTGCGCCGCCTCAAGAACTGGGTCAATGACATCCCAAGCCCTCACACTGCGGTGGATGACCTGGAATCTTTCACTCACTCGCTGGTATACACAATCATTACGATAGTGCAAGACCTTGGAGTGGCAACTAATAGGGAGAATACGTGGCGCGCAGCTTATGATGCTTCAGACTTTTCGACGTGTACCGCGAAGACGCATCCGTTTGAAGTTATGGGTGACGTCAAGGGGTGGTCTTCTGTAACGAAGCCCTTCCTGCCGCTGCTTGCGAACTGGTATGCAATCGGTGAGGAAGGGGCGATAAGACTAGATGAGACTCTCAGCTCGCTTCCTGAAAGGTATAACCAGAAAGCTCTCTCCGATACCATCCGACCGTTGTACCGATCTCTGATCATTAGATACATCGATGCTGCCCAGAAAGCATTAGTAGGTTTAGAGCATGCTCGGTGGTTGTAATTTGTATGTGCTGTAAACAACTTTCTATCCCTGGCCATTCCTACAAGAGAAGTGAGGTAAAACACACGCGTCACCCGCGTGTCGCGCTGCGGGGGCATTTATTTCTGCGGGACAAGTGTGTTAAGTGTGGCCATGTCCGTTGTCTGCAGATCAATATCGGTTGTCAGGCCTTGAATTCCCTTTGATCTTCTGCTTTTCTTTACTTACTTTTTACCTGTTCGTTGCCTAGTCGGAAGCGATATTCATTGCAGACTGTGAAAGCGCGGGAATTGATCTGTTGGAATAAGAGTCGGGAGCGTCGGGAGAAGAAGAGAAAGAAGAGGAAAGAGTGAAAGGACACGTTCACATCGCGCGTTTGCCTCGACCTCTTCCTTTGACTTGTGCGCTGTGATCAGTGTATCCTCTTTCAATTCAACTTACACCTTATAGCCTCCCTGTTTATACCCTCTCTATCATCAACCATCACCCAACTTGCATTCATCAACAATATCAGCATAATCACCTTCACTTTTTTACTTTCCAAAAATGGCTATCAAAGCCCTCATACACCGCTTCAACGGTTTGGGCAGGAAAGAGAGAGAGAAGCAACTACCTGACATCCCTCACTCAGCATCATCACCCTCAACATCATCAACAACGACAACGACAACGACACCGTCAACAAACACGAGGAACACTCTGCCACCGAGGAGCCCGCTGTCTATTGCACCGGGGGAGATGGCAAGGATCCCCCAGCTAGAACCGCTCGACTCACTCCTCCCACCAGCATTACTTCACTCTATCCCCGAAACAACGACCGCAACACCAAAGACGCCTCCAAAAGTCACTTCCTCACCGGCAGCAGACACGCGGAGAAAAGCACCGACAGCGAATGCTCACCCTCCGTCCATCCCGACTACGGCAGACCAGAACGGAACACAGAAACGCGTCGCTTTCATCTCACCTCCTCCTACTCCAGGACCGTTGAGCTCCCTCGCTCTCCCCCAGGAGGGGCAGGAACCACGTCGCAGAGGGAACAGCTTCAATGGCGAACAGCGACCTGACCTACCATCAAAAGATAAGCCTCTCAAAGCGCGGACGTACAGCAACCCTAGTGCGGACGCAAGACCTCTCCCGTCCCGCAGCGCAGGGTCGAGAGCCACCTCGAGGCAGGGAACGCATACGCCATCGGCGCCGCAGGACCCAACAAGCCTGGCGTTCTCGTTGAGGAGCGGGACACCTTATTCCCACATGAGCACGCGCAGCTTTGTCCCCGTCGCGGCAAGTTGGAGCGAAGCGGCCCAGGGAGATTTGGTGAGCAACCTCGGGCCGAGGGAGAGGACGAGGCAGGAGGTGTTATGGGAAATTGTCACTAGTGAGGAGAGGTGCGTTCTTTTCCCATTCCCGCAGTCCGCTCCAAAAGGGTAGACACTGATCTCCTTTTGCGCCTAGGTATGTCCAAGAACTCCTCAAGATGAAGGAAACGTTCATCGACCCCCTCCTGCACCCCTTCTCCTCCACCTCATCACAAGTCGTCCCCTCCTCCCCTCTAAGCGGGACGACCTTTCCCTCCCTCCCCGAAGAGCCCGAAGACCTCTACCGTCCCGCTTCCCACACTGCGTCCGCCAGCACCCACCCAACACAGACACAAACGCAGAGCACCGCTTCCCCGCCCGAATCACTCGAGCACCTGCCTATCGCCGCCCGCTTCCTCTCCCCTGTGCAGGACGCGGACGCGCCGTCAGACGGGGAACTAGCGGACTCAGAGTCCCGCCGCGGGGCGGGTAGGAGCCCGTATGGCCGTACAGCCAGCGCAGGTTCCCGCGCAAGCAGTAGAGGAGGAGCAGTCCCCTTCCCTAGCAGATCACACCAGTCTCTCCCACCCCCACCTCGTTCCCAACCCTCGGCAGGCCAAGGCCCAGTGTCGACCGTCTCCCTCTCCCCGCGCACTCCCACCCCAGCGTCGCGCATAATCCACAAACTGAAAAAACGCCCTTCCCCATCCTCCGACCCCACCTCGCCCTCGCTCTCCCCCCAAGCGCTCCCGGAGGACCTCAGAGAGTGCCTCACCGTCCTCGAGCGCGGGATCTTGGGTGGTCATGTTGCTCTCTCTGAGGGGCTGAAAAGGAGGTATGAGGAGCAGTACCCGCTTGTGAGGAGTTTGGCGGACGTGTTTATCCAGCATGTGAGTCCTTCTCTTAGATACGACCTCGCTTTGCATCGGGGTTTGGGCCGTCTGAGAGGCACACGATGCTGATTCTCCAGCAGAGTCATATCCTCCGCGAATACGCAACCTACGTCTTGCACCTTGAGCGTGCACTCGAGCAGGCAGACGCGTTCCTCAGCACGGACGTTAAGAAGAAGCCCAAGAAGCAGGATGCAGTGGAATGGATGCGGATTTCCAAGATCCTCCAGGTGCGTCCGGCCCTTGTGCAAATAGTGTTAATCGTGAACGTGCTCGTGCTCATATCTGTCCTTGTGCTCATGTGTAGCGCTTGGAAGAGAGCGCAGCGGATAAAGGCGAGACAGGACTGTCGATCTGTCTCTCAAAGCCCTTCCAGCGGCTACTCAAATACCCCCTCCTCTTCCAAAACCTGCTCTTCCACACCGATCCCAGCACGTACGAATACGAGAGCACGCTACTCATGGTTGCCGAAGTGGAGGAGATCGTCCGTTCGATAGAGGACGAGAAGATCCTCAAGGAAGAGCGCGATCGGACGAGGGACGTATTGGCACGCATCGAGGGTTTGGAGAAGAACAAACTGCTCGCAGCGCCTAAAGCTAGCCGTGTACTCGTCAAAGAATCCCCGATCGACGTCCCCGGCTCAACCGATTCCCGCGATGCGCCCGGTGCGTTTGCCGCCCAGAGCCAGACTCAGAGTTTGCCCAGCAGGAGCGTGAAGCAGAAAACGAGCTTTAGGAGACTGAGCGAGAACGTGCTCGGTGCTACGCCTGCTATGGGGAGCAAGAAAGACCTCTGGCTCGTTACGTTCAACGATGTTGCGCTCCGGTGTCAGAGGACGGGGGTCACAACGCTTCCTCTTGCTAGTTCTACTGGGCTCGGCGTACCGGGGAAGAGCGCGAGCGTGCCTGATCTTGGCGGGAAGGGAAAGTTCGGGTCGACAGGCGCGAAACGGGCTCAGCAGACAAAACCGAGGAACTTGTACAAGTTTGTGAAGATTGAGACTTGGGCTATGTCTGCCGATCCAGATGCGGATCCTGTGCCAAAGGTGGGCGCGGTATCTATGGAAGAGTACGTCTTTCCACACTCTATGATCATGTTTGAGGGCCGTGTTGACGGGAGATAGTGTTAGCAAAACCCATGCGAAGCTTACGCAGGAAGCGATTGCCGATGCTGGCCTGAACGCCGATGACGACGGAATGGACTCAGACGAATCGGATCGCAAGTCCAAAATGTCGTTCTCATACTGGGGAGCAGACAAGATCACCGTCAAGCGCGCCCCGTTGTCCGCTTCTGCGCCTCCGGCCACCGGACGACCTGGTGCTGTTCGGAAGAGCGCTGTCGGGGCGTACACGCGGGACTCACCTGCGAACGCGAAATTCGGGAATAGGCTTAGGAATCCCGACCACCCGCCTATCGCTGGCCGGCCGATGAGCAGAACCCACGGTCCCGTGCGCCGGCCTGCGAACGGGTCAAACGAGGAGAAACCCCAGCGTCCGCCTTGGGGAAGTAACCCGAATTCCGCTGCTAGGCTGACGACTGCCACTGCTCGGAAAGCGCAGAATACGCCGCCTTCCAGCACTGTCTCCTCCGGTACTACTCGGAAGGAGACGACTCCCGTTCCTGAGAGTGTCAGGACTACAAAGTACTCCAACGCACCGAGCGAGGACTCTGGCGTTGGCCTCTACCGGCAGATCATCGCTGCCAACCCGTCTATCAACAAGCTCAATATGATGTAATCTTAACCTAGCCCCAGCCGGCTCCAACACTCCCTATCTGGAAGGTATATCTAATGGCACTGCCCATTCCTGTCAATCGTTATTATACGTTTTCCCTACCTTCTCAGATCTGTTTTCCTTTTTTTTGCCGCTTCATACCAGAGCTGCAAGAACAACCTTAACTCATTCATTACTACCCCGCTACCTACATACTACACGTAACCCCTCCCCGTCATGTACTCCGCTCATCAGATGCTCTAAGTATCGTACGTTATAATCTAAGTCGGCCGGTACCGAGGGGAATGTGCATTTGTTACCAAATCGACTGTTCTTCAAGGTATGGCTGACCAAATACATTAAGTTCAGGCGTCCTCAGGGGCATCGTATGCCGCTTTGTGGATGGTTACAGACCGTCCACTCGGGTCGGTAGCGCAACCCCAGTCTTTTCTGGGGATCCACCGGACAGCCGTGGACGCTGCAGCTTCCGTGGGGAATAGACGCTCGAACATCTCGCGGATCATGTACGCTTCCTTGGTATCGGGAGTGTCGACTGGCCACCGCTGTTCGGCCTTGGCAAACGCTTCGTCGCTCACGAGCCCCTCGGCGTGTTCTTTCATTCTGTACAACAAGTCAGTCGAAGTCATACCAGTGCTGTATAGAAACGAACCCATCAATCCAGGAGTACCCAACACCATCGGAGAACTGCTCTTTCTGCCTCCACAGGATCGAGTCCGGCAAGTATGCCTTCCCGTCCGGGGCGCAATCAAACGCCTTGCGCAGAATATATTTCTCCATTTTCGGCCTTCCATCCTCGTCATACTCCTTCTTCCCAAATGTCTTCTCCACAGGGTCGATGTTCATCGCCACCTCGAGGAAGGCTTTGTCGAGGAACGGCACACGTGCTTCGAGCCCCCAAGCCATGGTCGACTTGTTCGCACGAAGGCAGTCAGAGGTGTGCAGATTTTTGACCCGCTTGACACACTCGACGTGCAGGTCGTCCGGCGTAGGTGCAGCGTGGAAGTACAGATAGCCAGCAAAGATCTCATCTGACCCCTCACCGGAGAGGACCATCTTCACACCCATTGCCTTGATCTTCCGGCTCAGGAGGTACATAGGCGTCGATGCGCGGCATGTGGTCACGTCGTACGTTTCCAAATGGTAGATGACGTCCTCGAGCGCGTCCAGGCCTTCCTGAACAGTAAACGTGTACTCGTGGTGGATCGTCCCGAGGAAGGCGGCGGCCTTGCGTGCAGCGAGAAGATCGGGCGAGTTAGGCAAGCCGACAGAGAATGAGTGAAGTTGGGGCCATGAGGCAATTGGGTACTCCTCCGGCCCATGGGTGGGAGTAGACGAGCCGTTCACAAGCAGGTGCCGTTGCCTGCGCTGCATCAGTTCTTGCGCGACTTTATCCGTCTCTCGCGCAGCAATCGACGCGATAAGCGAACTGTCGAGCCCGCCGCTCAGAAGCACGCCGTAAGGCACTTCGGACATGAGGCGCTTCCTTACGGCCGCCTCGAGCGTCTCGCGCAATAGCTTGAGATCCACCTTGGTCGTTGGCACGGGCTTTGTGCTGTCCGTATCCCACCACGTCGGGTTGAAATACCGTTCCGTCTTCCCGGTTGCGCTGTCGTATACGTGACCAGGGGGGAAGGAGATGATTTTATCGCAGTCGTCTGCGAGTGCCTTCAATTCTGAAGCGAAGAAGACGACCCCGGGCTGAGAAGAGGACCAGCCCTGATAGAGAGTGGTGATGCCGATCGGGTCACGAGCAGCGACGATACGGGAAGGAGTGCGAGAGTTGTCGATCAGGGCAAAGGAGAACATGCCGTCGAGCATGTTGCATAACCCCGTGTCGTGCTCAGTGTACTGCCTTGATGTCAGACCTCCAATACCAGAAATACGCCAATACGCACCAGATACAGAAGAACCTCACAGTCAGAGTGTGTCTTGAATTTGTGCGGCATTTTGAGGCCCTTGCGAAGCGCAACGTGGTTATAAATCTCGCCGTTGACACAGAGAGCAAGGTCGCCCGACTTGTTAGTCAATGGCTGAGCACCGGTATCTACAATGACCGACGTGGATCAATTACGAATACAACGATGAGAGGTGTAGCGAACACACCAACACCGACTATGGCCAACCGCTCATGGACGAGGATAGAGTCTTTTCCGACAAAGCAGCCCGACCAGTCGGGCCCGCGATGTCTCAACCGTTTCGACATTGCGATAGCATGTGCACGCTGAGAGGCCGGGTTGTCCAGCCCGTGTATGGCGAGGATGCCGCACATCTTTTTCTGACTTCTAGATATGGGGTGAAAGGGGTAGGTGCAAGAGGTGCAGGTAGAGAAGAAGGAAGGATAAGAGCAGGAGAAGTGGATAACGCCTCACATGTAAGGGGAGGGTTTTCAGAGTCATGTTATGTGTGGACCCTTACGCCCTTCATACAACAGAATTCGGCCGAAACCGGCAAAGGGTTTGCTGATAACGCCGATCTTTCTGGGTGATGTTATTGATGGTGAAATACGAATAATGTGATTTGTTAACCTGATAAGTACACGCATCTCTTGAACAACAGCAGTCTCAATTTCAACGCTTACCCCCACATCAACTTGGCGCCATGTCCCGAGTACCTGCCTCCGCTAACCGGGTTATCTTGCATGATCTTATGCAGTTCCTGTACGTCCTCCTCAGTGAGCACCACATCAACCGCAGCAATGTTCTCCAACAGCCGGCTGACGTGAGACGCCCCGGGAAGGGGAATGACCTTCTCTCCGAGAGAGGCGACCCAGGCGATACACAGTTGGGCAGTAGTGATGCCCTTCTTTTCTGCGAGGGCCTTGAGCGAGTTGGCAAGCTTGGTGTTCGCCTCCCAGTGCTAAAAACAAGTCAATAACGTTGTGCATAGAAGACAGGAGATCCGCACCTCATCCTGCATCCGCACGTAGTCCCGACGGAAGTCGTCAAAGTCGTTCTTGGAGTTGAACCGACCAGTCAGGAACCCGCGACCAAGCGGGCTGTAACCGATCACAGCGACATCGAGTTCCTTGGCACCCTGGATCACTGTTCCAATATTAAGATATCGCCACGTAATGTCCATATATGCGCACCTTTCCGCGTCTCCTCTTCCCACGACCACGGGCTGATCTCGATCTCGATCGCCGCGACCTTAGCAACCTTACATGCCCTCCTCAGCGTGTCCGCACTGGCCTCGCTCAAGCCAATATGCTTGAACTTCCCCTCAAGCCTGAGTTTCTCCAGCCTCTCCATAGTAGTCTCGATCGATACGTTCGGGTCCACACGGGCCATCTCGAACAAGTCCATCACCCGCCCAAGCTTAGAGTTGATGTTGTCGACCGAGCGGCGCAGGTTCTCCTCCGAGGCGTCGGGGACCATGTTATGCAGCCCGCCCTTGACGGAGAGGAAGAACTTATCCGAATAGGAGGGGTACTTGGACATGAACCGCGCCAGCAGCTCGAGGTTCGCTTCGGGAGGGTTGACGCCGTAGAACTCGCCTGGAAAGTGATAAGCATACGCCGGGAGTGAGAGAAGTTGCATACCAGAGTTGAGCATGTTGCACCCATTGTCAATCGCAGCTTTGATCGTCTCGAAGCATTGTTCGTCGGGAACAGGATTTGGCTTCCAGCTGAATCGAGGTGCGTAAGTTGTAGCATAGAAATGGTACAGTACGGAAAGACGCACGTCATGAGCATAAGCCCTTCCCCGACCTTTCCAATCTTGACGTCGGTAGCAGTGCCTCCCAGAGTAGTGGTTTTGATCATCATCTTAGTGCAGGTCTGCGTAAGTCGTGCTAGTGAATCTCGAAAGTGCTGAAAGCGAGCTGTCGATGTCCAGCCATGCTAAAGTTCATCCGGGCTTAAATAGGTGACCAGAGCCTGACGTCGACTCCTCGGAACGCCGCCGGATGCGTCAGTCCCGTCGTCGGCGACAAGGGTCTTTAGCACACTCGGCCACGATCACGTCGTGGGGAATAACCTCCCACGCTGTACGAGTCTCACGTTGGTGTCACGTGCCAATGCGTGGAAAGCCAATTTTCACCCCTACAGGTGTCCAACGTGAGGACTTGCTTCTAACTTTCAACATCAACTAACGGCGGGGTAGAAATCGCTGTGCGGACAAGCCTCTCCTTGACCGGCCTTCCTCCCGTGTTGAGAACTGCACATCCACGCTCGCCAGTAACAAGACGGGGACGCGCGTCTCCTCTGGTCTCTGGGCACTGAGTTTGATGATCTGGAACACCTGGGGACTTCTAACAGCGTGGGCACACCTAGACATTGGTGGTTCACCCTGACCCTGCATTCCCCCTGCATTCTGCGAGCTTCGCGTGGACGACCTGGATCATGTTTATACGTCTGCCGTGGTATCTCTATCGCTATATTGTTCATCCCCATACCGGATAACCCTTCTGGAACCTCACTCCCTGGACAGGATTTTCCTCCATGGCACGTTCGACCGCCTCGATATCTTCCTTGCTCAGAGTTATATTCGCAGCATTCAGGTTCTCCAGCGAACGGCCGGGGTGCCTCCCTGCAGCTTCAGCCCTCATCCTTCGCTCGGCAAAATGAATAAACTCACGACGATCCAGGAATAGGGATCACATGTTCTCCCAGACTGCAAACCCAAACGATACATAGCTGTGCCGGTGTCACCCCCTTATCCTGCGCGATCTCCTTCAGTGCTCCTGCCAGGCCCATATTGCTCTCGAAGTTCTTCTCGGACCACTTGTCCAGCCCTTCGCGCCTCAAGTCGCCCCTCTCCAGGTCAGAACGATTGATGGAGCCCGTGAGAAACCCTTGTCCTAGCGGTGAGTAAGCTGCGACTGTCACTCCCAGTTCGCGCGCGGTAGCAATCACGGCTTTCGTCTCGTCCTCGTAGGCAAAGGGCGATACTTCGATCTCCACCACCGCGACTGGCGCAACCTGCATTCGCCGCCGTCAGCGCCCGCCCAACCTTCCTCCGGGATGGTTATGAGAGCACTCACCTTGCATGCCCGCCTAAGCGTCTCAGCAGCACACTCGCTCAGCCCAATATGACCAAATAACCCCTCCTCCCTCAGCCTCTCCAACAATCGCATCGTCTCCTCCACCGGCACTGCCCTATCCACCCTCGCCAATTGGAACAAGTCGATCTTCTTCCCCCCCAGATGTTGGGAGATGTTGGCTATGCTCTGCCCCACCTGCTCCTCGGAGGAACGGGAAGAGGACTTGACGCTGAGGAACATCTGGTTAGTGTACTCCGGGTGGTTGGCTAGGAACTGCCGTATAAGGTTGAGGTTCGCCTCCCTCGGGTTGATGCCATAAAATTCCGCTACGTACAAGTCAACAACCTCGCACCCAACCCCAGCCCCAGCCCAGGCAAACATACCAGAATTGAACATACCAACCCCATGTTCCAGGCTTGTGCGTATCGCTGCAAAACATTGGTCTTCGGGTGCGGGCGTTGGTTTCCACGTCATCAACATCAGGCCGTGGCCGACTTTGCCGACGCGCAGGGAGGAAGCGGACCCGCCGAGGTTGGTTTGGGGGATACGAGCGGACATGTGTGAGGATTTGGTAAGGCGGGGGAGGACCGTGCGTGGGAGAGAGATGTACGTTGTAGTTCGGTAGCTCAATGGAGACGATATTTATCGGCGTGTGCGATGTAGCCGCGCATGCAAAATTTCCTCGCCCGTCAGGCCCGGTGCCATCTCGAGCACGCTCTCCATGCTCTGCGGATCATCGTGAGATTCCAACTCCCACAGTCAACAATACGTATACACGCCCAAAAGCTCATCCCGAGTCAATCTCACCACCATCTCTCTCTTCTATACCACCACCTCGACACCAAACTTTGCACAATATGTCACGCCCGTCGTCATCTCGCACCACTACACAGCAATCCCGTACCAACCCTTCGACTCCGACAGCCCCCACGCCCACTCCTCCCCCACCTACACCCGCACCCACCCGCCCAACCGAACTGGTTGCTGAAAAGCCCATCCGTTACATCTACACGGAATCAAGTATTCGGGGTGATGTCATGTATCCTGTGCCTGTGGGTGTTACGCACCTGGTACGCCAGAACTTGATCGACATGACCCGCGATTCTCTTGCCGAGAAGGTCCGCACCTTGGCCACCAAAGACGCCCCCTTTAAGCCGGACCTCTCCAATGCCACCGTCTACTACTGTGTATATTTCTATCTCTCTCCATTGCCAACACATCACCTGATTACCCTCCAGCTTTATTCCGTCCTCTTAACCAGGACGGCAACGTGATTAACAACGAGTCCCGCCAGCTCAATTTTCCTACATCAGAACACATCCCCAAGGACGTCAACATTGTGGTTGCGTTTGCACCACCTGATAAGCAAGACTTCAAAACTTCGATGCCCCTCAAGTATCTTGTAAAGGGAGCAACTGCGACCGCCGCGAGTCAGAGCCTGATTGCGGAGGAGTTGCAAGAAAAGCTCGGCAGTGCGTACATTGCCTCGTTCCTGCGCACTGACTGCTGACGAGCCATTTAGACGCTGAGAAGCAGTTGAAGGACACTGAAAAGCAGTTGAAGGACAAGGGAAAGGGAAAGGGTGTCGGAAGAAGCCAACAGCTCCAGCACGACCTCGACGAGGCCGGCACGCAGTCCCAGAGGCTGCAAGGAGAGGTTAACACCAACGATGAGGAGACGAACTCGGACCGCATGATAATGTTTGAGAAAGCCATCCGCCAGCAGCTGGCCCGCACAACCGAAACATTGGGAGAGGAAATCCGCCTGCTGAAAGAGGACAACCGCCTGCTGAAAAAGGAGAACCTGAGGCTGAAAGAGAAGGTGGCTTCGCTGGAGAACAGGGTGATCGAGCTGGAGGGCTTCGATTACGTACGTGATCACCCTCTCACCCTTATCGCACATTGTCACCTTCGCTGATATTTCTACAGGATCATAACAAGTTGGACCAGATCCGTCGCCGTGCAGTCCTTGACGAGGCGCGCAACGCCCTCATGGTTCTGTTCGGGTTCAGTCCCGAGAATACGACCTGGCTGGAGTTTGCAAGCTCTCGCCAACCAGCAAGCATTGTGAAGGAAACCGCATATAAGAACCACCGTGCCTGGCGTCTCATTAGGGCTGATGACCTTGGCGCGCTGTTTCACATGGGCGTCGGAGGAATGGTCCGCTTCGACGGCATCAAGGCAGCCAACACATTCTCGTTCAACGAGATGCGAGGCGCTGTCCAGGACACCCCCGGACAAAACTTCCGCGTTCTGAGGCTTTTCCTCGACACCCTCGAGCCCGCCGACTTCCCTCTCGTGCAACTGTAGTATAGCCATCCATATCCCTACAGCCATCCATATCCATACAACCATCCATATCACCGATACATCATGTGCGCGCTTGTCTGATTATATACATGCCGTTTATTTTTAAGGACCAAAGCGCAGAGAGTGATTTCGGTTCGGACTGACGGATGCGGCGTTCGGTTCGCTGGGCCTCGGAGTCACTGCATGTTCAGGGGCTCCTGGGTCTCGTAGGAGACCTAGAATCACCTGACTGACCCTCAGTGGAGGGGATGTTAGGATTCCTAGCCTAGCCCATTAAAGGTGATTTAAACAGAGTTTTCAATTCAATCCTAGGGGTAAATTTGGCTATGCTATGCAGGAGAGCTTAGGATACAGTAGATGACAAAAGTAAATGTATGCTGCACTGTAAGGGTCCGTATATGACCCCGTACTTACCTCTTTAGGTAGGATTGCCTCTGCAAGGTGATCATGATCATCCATTGGACTAACACATAGCAGGTGGCTGTAGGCCACCCTTCTCTTCATCCCTTTTGCTACACGCATGTATTACTACTAGTTAGTAATACATTTGCTCTGTGTATGTATTGAGGGTGTAAGGGCACCTTAAGCCCTTTCACTTTTTTACATGACTCCAAAAAGTGGAGTTCATAAAGGAATAGAGTGAGAAGTGCTCCATGTCAGATTCTAGTCTCTGCATTATGGAGACCAGCTGAAAAATGGTGGGACACCCTCCACCCAGTAGAAAGACTGAGGTCAGTCCTAAGGGCGGCTGGGGACCTGGGGTTGTGGATACTCCCACAACTGTACCAGGCTCTTGGAGCTTTTCTGAACTCAGAAATAGCTCAGAATGGGTTTCTGGGCAACAGGAACCTGCATGAGGAGATCAAAGTACTGATCTTGCTGCTCAAAGAGCATGAATGGAAACTGAGGATTCCAATATGCTATTGGACAAGGATTCCTTGGCCAATGGTGCTTCAAATAGAAGCCATAGTCAGGTTGTAGCTGGTCCAATTGATACAGGGGATCAATTAGATCCCTGTGCAGATTTGAGCTGGATGCTTGACATTGCAGACTCTTTGCAACACTTGATTGCAGAGCTTAATGCTCTGGCTATGGCTAGCCAGAACCCAGAACACATACAGAGGTATGCAGAATTAGGACAGCAGATGATGAGTCTCTGTATGGAAGATGTGCTCTATGGCTTTGGGCCATGACCAAGTCTCTCCCAATCTGGGATGGGATTGCAGACATTGCCTAACTCACCATGTTTGCAAATCCCTTCTGGGGAAGAAGGATCTAAGACAGATCCTGAAAGAGCATCCTTAAAGGATGCTACAGAGTTAGAAGAGACCCTGCTAAGAGTCCCTCCCACCCCTCCCAGTATGGAGATGAGGAAAGAGCCCTCTCCAAATGTTTGTTTTGATTTGGACCAAGAGGGTCCATACACACTGAAGTTCCCATTTGGGGACCTCCCTGACAGTTCCACATGTTTGAACCAAAAGTCCACTACCTGTGGACCTTACAGCACTCCTATGTTTAGGAGCAAAGACAATCTTCTAGGAGGGTCAACAATTCCCACCAGCCACTTTCGAGCTTTTGCCGGCTGTTTCCTTATCTGTTCGAAGATCAGTCACAGATTCCGAAAGGGTCAGAAAAATACTTACTGCACACGATGAAGCTACAGCTGTAGCCCTTGCACCGGCACGAGGAGCGACCAATCTGCTTAAGCTCGCCCTTCCAATCGGTCGTCAAGTGGTTCCAGCCGCCGGTGCACCATTGGCCCACCCTGTTGGAGCGGCACATGTTGCACTGCTTAGTGGTCAGAGGGGCGTAGGAAAGTTAGAAGATTCAACTCACAGGAATTGGATTCTTCCGAAGGACTCGGAACATCTATTTGAAGTCAGAATCAAAAGTTGGAACAAAGACAGGAACACTTACGTTCTTGAATCCCTTTACCTTCATGAAGTATGACACCAGCCAGACAGGAGCTAAGCAAATGTCCATGATGGACAGGCAATCCCCACGGAGGTGATCCGGATCGAGCTTCGAAAAGAAGTTAGCCGAGGTATGAACACCGATTTGCATACTTACCAGAACGTTGAACTCAGCAGACGTCTGAGCAGCCTTGGTCGCGCCATCAAGAGCCTTCAGCATGCGAGACCGGAGTACCTAAGACAAATCAGCAAAGGGAACATTCGAAGCTCGGATTGACTTACCCCATCAGATGCTGGCAATGGATCAGGCTCAGCTTCAGCAGCCAGAGCGCTCCTCCCTGAGCTCGTTCTTTGGAGCCTTGCCGGGCTTCTTCTTATTGTCATCGGGAGCAGGCATCACCTTGACCATGGACAGGGACTTGGGAGGCGAAGAAGGCAGAGAAGCTGCAGCAGAGACAGAAACCCTCGACTGGGAGTGCCGAACTGGGATCTCCACAATGACAGTCGTTTTTGGTTGTGCTCAAGTGGAAGCCGGCTTCACGGGCGTGCGCACCAGGGTTGGCTTCTTGGGCGAGGGAATCGGTGTCGCTATCTTCGGACCGGGCAGATCTGGGCTTCTGTCGATGCTGGCCATTCGGTACATCTGAACAACGTTCAAATGCTGCATCTTCTCGATCTCTGGCACCATGTTCCAAATCGCTTGTTCGGCCTCGATCGCGGCTTCGAGGTTCTCATCCGGCTGTTCGAACGTCAGTCATGGTTCAAAAATCAGAAGAAAAGGGGCGCACCTCCTTGTCCCTGGCATGAACTGCCTTGCAATCTGCCTGGTGTCTGAGCGCACATGTATCGAAGGGAGGCTTGTTATCCCTCCCTACCACGGCCGTCCTCGGCATCTCTACCCACTCCTTGAATGGCGAGTAAACTGGGCCCCTGCAAGTCGCCAGCTTTACAGCGATTTGTTTCCCCTGTGGGCAAGTTAGCAGGATACAGAGAGAAGAAAGGAGCACGCACCATGCAGGCATACCACTGTGCCTTGAACGCCGGACCCATGTACGATGCCGCCATGGGAGGCACGGACCTCCACTGCTCCTTCGAGTTGTGCTCCATAATCCACTTGATGAGTTCGACCTGCTGAAAGTTAGAATCGAAGTTCGAAAACGAAAAAGAAGGCTCACCTGAAACTTCAAGACCCTGCCGACTTTCCACCAGGCCTCATGGTCCTCATTGGGGGCCGGTACCATGGCAAGGATCTCAGGGAGGTCCTTGCTGGGTGGCTCCTACCCAAACCATGTTAGTGAAGAGGACGCATATATGCAGCCAAAATGTACCTGGTCCTCGTCACTCCCTGCCGGCTCCGGAGTGGTCTCCTTTACAATGCTTTCCTAAGGAAACGGGTCAGCACGGGGCACAGAGGAACATACGAGGGAAAACATACCTCTTGCGTCTCGTCCATGGTGTGGTCCTCCTCTTCTCCTTCGAGCCCCTCAGTGACTGCTTCGATCTCTTGGTCCTCCTCAGGCTCCTCATGCGACTCCAGCTCGTTTTCGATCAGCTTGGATGAACGGGTCGAAGAGACCCTTGACTTTGGAGTCAAGGTCTTTGAAGGGGGAGCAGACATCTTCTTTGAGGGCGTCACCTTCATGGACGCCGACTTTGCGTTTGAGGCGGGGCGATTGGCCGCAGGCTCTGGCTCTGGCATCTACATAAAAGTCAGTAGAGGGAAGGACACAAAGGAGAAAGGAAGGAATGCACGGCAGGGGGATCCTCCTCCTCGGGCTCGGTCAACTTGTCGTGCAAGGACTCCACCAGCTCCTTCGACCGAGTCTTCTTACCGGAGGCCTTCTGAGCCCTCGAACCTTTTTTCATATCTGTGGCAGAAGGCTTCTTGCTTGAAGAAACCTTGGGCTTCGTCTTGGATGACAAAGGCTTCTTACCGGAGGCGGCCTTAGTGTTGGAGGGAGCCATAGAAAAGTCAAGCAAGGAGGAAAGAAGGGGTTAGGGTGGTGGTGGAAGGAGAGAGAAAAAGTATAAGGCGGCAGCGTACGAAAGGTCCCGCTGCACCTCTCTTCATATGCCGGGTCGAAATAGGTCCTGTCAATAGTAGTAGTCTGAAGGTTCAAACCGCTCCGAACATATATAGGCGGATTCGGATACTTTGGATAGGGACTCTCGGACTCCTCTGTCACTTACTCTCGACTACACTCGTTCAAGACAAGTGATTTTATCTTACACCTAATACTACTGCTATACTCTACAGTCACTCTTTAGTCTTGCTCTTCCTGTAAGACGGATCCGAGCCTCAATCTGACCCCTTCAACCTTTGAATACCTCTCATTCACCTAATCAGGCCGTTCCCTTCCTCACTCTCATTCGGACGCCCTTCGGATTGCTGCGTCCAGCCCTCGGAGCCTACACAGGACCTTTGGATTCGCCTTCAAGCAGCTCTACCTTAGGAGGCCACAGTTTGATTAGGTCGGATTCTGTCTATTACTACCTACTACAACGTACGGGCCACCACTGTTGACTCCCCCTCCAGTGGACCTTCTCCTGATGCCTCAGTGGGAGGTGTAGAGTACACCGACTCACCCAATTGGATGAGTATTTGGAGCTTCAGGGCGTGAAGACTCCAGAGGAGCTCCCAAAAGGGAATCCTCAGGGATAATATCATTGTTAGCCCACATGACTAACAATGGAAGACCTTTGGCCTTCTATCTCCGCAACCGCGGTGGCAGACCATAAGCAGAAGCAATTCCACAATTTTTTGGCCAACGCAAAGGCCAAGAAGAGACCACCTCTCTTCTCTTCTTACCACCACCATCCCCCCTCCCACAAATGGTATATCACATTCGATCTCACCTTCTCGCCCTCCATCATGCTCTTCGAGCACATGTCTGGCGTTTTGCCTGCCCCTGCACCATCTGGTGCAACTGCCTCGGCTGAGGTGGAAGTCTGCGAGGACGTCGTCTCGCTTCCCCTGCCATCTCCGAGGACTGTCTCGCCCATGGCTGTCTCCCCGGCAGCCCCCATCCCTCCTTCGCTGCCTATGGCAGTGATACCAGCTGGCGTGGACTCCACACTGACTATCTTGTTGCAGACCACCAAGTCCATCCAGGGAGGTGCTCTTGTGCCTTCCTCCAGTGTCGTCCATACAGATGATAATCCATTTGGCGCTTCGGCGCCCCTTCCTGCAGTCGGTCCAATGGATGACACCCCAACTGCCCTGGTTGTTCTCTCAAACAACCTCCCACCCAGCGATGCCATTCCCTTGAACAGCACAGATCATACTGCCATTGTTCTGTCAAACAACCCCCCATTCTCTCACACTGGATGGGGCAAACCGTCTGGCACCCTGCTCGTTGGTTGGGGTACTTCGTCCGGAAGGGACTCCTCTGCTGGCTGGGTTGACCCTGCCGACCCACCGAAGTGAGCTCTTGTCCCTTGGGATGAGGATGAAGAGTTCATCAATAACGATGAAGATCCCTACCTCGTCCCAGACGGGGTACCCCTACACCCAAAGGAGGATTGTGGCACGTCTTACGGACGTGATGCACACGGCTTACCAAGGCCCCAAATGCCCAAGTATGCCCGGGGATCTACTGATCCCTTCTACCATGACACTTGTGCCCGTGCCCCCAAGCCCTTCACTCTCCTCGTGGGAAATCCTCATGCCAACTCATGGTTGGCTTTTCATTCTGCCAAGCAGCTCGCTGACGAGCTGCTCTTCAATTGCCTGCATTGCTGGACCGCAGAAGAGACTCATGATCATCTCACACTGGACTGCGGAGACCACTCCGATGAGTTGTTCCGCCTCCGTCGCAAACATCTTGATCAAGTCGAAGGACTTGAAGATGCTCTTCAAAAGAGCAAAGAAGACCTCGCACATTCCCTCGAGGAGAATGCAAGATTGCCATCCACTCTGGACGACACTAGGCAGCTCTCCTTGACTGCCATGAAGATGATCTCTGATGCCCAGCAATTGGCATCGCAGGCCAGATCGGATGCCGAGCATTTCCGTCAGGACAGCAACAACTGGCACTCCAAATACGACTACATTCGTGGTCATCTCCACTCCTCTTTGGATCGCACAGATCCTCCCCGTGCACCCTCTACCACGGGGGCTGCAAGCACATCTTCACGACCACAGCCAGCATCCTCCCATGAGATGTCTGATGATCACGATGTCCCTATGGATGACTCCATCATCAAGGAGCCTGCATCAGCTCCTCCCCAACCCTCTGCTGTTGCCCTCGGCAAGTGTCCTGCTGTGGACGAACCCACCTCTGCGCCTCCACGCAAAGTACCATCTATATCGATGGTAATGGTATCTTCTGGTGCCCCCACTCAGAGCAAGTCTTACAGCTCGGTTGCGTCCAGCGCTGCTGGACTGCCTCTCACTCTTGCCCAGACGACCACCATGGCTACTTCTAGCTCCTCTGGAGCTAATGCTCAATCTGCGTTGACTCAGATTGATGCAAACAGTCCCTCTGCCGTTGCTGCTATGCAACGGTGATTCCCTCCCATGGGAGTCTCAGAGATGGTAGCTGCACACTGTGCAGCTGCTCGTGTGGCTCAAATGGGTCATCCTGTCCCACGAGCCAACCCAGCAAATCCCTGGCAGGGAATCATAATGGCCAAGCAATTGACCACGATCCGGAACGTGGATCTTCCCTGTTGGCAGGTCTTAATGGAGACCGCTGATGCCAACTGGGCTCACACTCCATGGGCGGGTAACCTCTGCTCCCAATTCATGAAGATGGTGGAGCAGGAGGGCAAAGAGGCGAATTTTCACCTCAACAAGGGGCCTGGTATTAGGCGCTCTATGGACGGGAGATACTACATCCCCGACCTTAACGTGTGGACTTGGCTCCACGATAACTGTCTGCATGCGGACGTTAAAGGCTGGCAAAAAGGCGATGCTGCTGCCTTTTATGAGATTGCGATGAATCTCTTTCGAACTAAGTTCGAATTCAACAAGTTCGTTGATGAGCATCAGCTCGGTTGTGCCGGCATTCCTCATTGGTCTATGACCACTCGCTTCCACAAAGCCGTCTCCCTCAATGCAGACAGCGTACGCGTTTGGAGCCCCATCACGGTTGCCAAAGTGTTCATCACCAGTGGGCTCGATGAATCAAAAATCGATGTCCTGGTCGGTTACTTCGGTCATAGGCAACAGAAGGCAGAACTTGGTTGCACATACCGCAACAACATTCTTGACGAGAATGGCGTGCGCGCGCTCAGTCTTGTAGACCGACATGGCAGTCATTGTGGACGGAAGTCTTCCAGTCTGCAATAGTCCCCCCTCCTGTGGAGGGCCTTCCACTGTTGGGTCTCGAACCCGAAGGCCTGAAATGGTCTGATGACCATACTGGTCCTGCTGCTGGTCCCTCTCATGTGGATGCAGCCATCGAGGATGAAACCCTCCTCGACTATGGTGACAGCGACGGCTATGACCGCACCTGTTAGTACGTATACCCCTTCCTCTTTGACAGGGGGGGGGTGTAAGGGTCCGTATATGACCCTGTAGTTACCTTTTTAGGTAGGATCGCCTCGCAGAGGCGATCATGATCGTCCAGAGGACTGACACGTAGCAGGTGGCTGTAGGCCACCCTTCTCTCTATTTCTTGTTACTACAGTAATATATTACTACTAGTTAGTAATACTATTGATCAGTGTATGTATCAAGGGCATAAGGGTACCTTAAGCCCTTTCAGGAGGGGTGTAGCATTCCATCCATTGATTGCCATGTACAAACCAGCTCAGATCCACTTGGTAATTTGGGCCCAGAATAACCATTTGAAGTTGTCCATTATAGAGCCGGTGTAACTCATCTGGTGGCACCCAGAGTAAGAGCTCATTCCCCATGCCTCGGATCCATCCAGTTGTGAAGTCAAACTGAATGCCGGCTTTGTATCCCAGCGAAGGCAAGAATGGCTGTGGCATCCGATGTCTGTCCTAGGGTGAGAGTAATAGAACATTGCCGGGCCATGTAAGGCAAGTTTTTGTCATGAGGGTGTGGTGGAGGTGATGTGCTCCCTTGCCACAAACTTGTGATTGAAACAAGGGTTTCTCTCATCCAGCAAAAATCCAGCTCAGCAGGGGTTCTGTCACACTCATGGACCCTGATCAGTTGCATCACATATCATCAATAACATGAACAAGCATCATTGATAATCTACTCCATCATCTCCTGATCTTGTCCAATTCCTAGTCCTTGTACTCTACTTTGAAATACCACATCTTTACTTACACAAGTTCTCTTCATGGCTCCTTCATCTTCAAGAGCCTCTCAAGCTGGTCATCTACAGTCCAAATTTGCACCAAGCTCAAGCTCTTGAAGCACAAGGAGGGGCATCTACAAGGCATCCATCAATGAGGGCAAGCCTCTGGCTCACATGGTGAACCTCATGGCCCTGCACAATGAGCTTGTTGCCCATGGACTTGCAAGCACCTCATCAGATGCTGTGAAAGCCCCTCCACTTGACCCCTGCTCAAGCTCTTGGCGCTTGCACATGCTCACACTCAAGGCAATGGATCAATGCAAGAGGAACATGAGGCAAGAATACAGTGGATGTCCAGTATGTCTTATTGTATCTTCCAAATCATTACACTTGCTCATGTACATGCAGCTATGCCTGAGGAAGCACATGCAAATCATTTCCTTGCCCAACTTCTCAGCTCTTGCCAGCAAGCAAAGGGTGGACAAGGTGAATTTGATGTGTTCATGGACAACACATTGGACCAGGGGGGTGGGATAGACATGTGCAAAGAGGAAGAAGATGTGACGGTCATCAAAACAGTGTGGAATCTTTGTTGGTGCATGTCTGTTTGTACTTGTTTTCCACTTGTTGACAAGAACATCAGGATGCAGCAACATCAACCTTGCATGCATCATCACATTAGGCATGGAGGCCATGCTTGACGTCTTGGGGCATCAGCAGAAGCATGGAATGCACATGTTCCTGATCTGGTGCAAGCATACTTATGATGGCAGCATGGAGGTCAAGTGGGAGGTGGGCAAGGAGAGGTAGACCAAGGAGATGAGGTGGTCATTCATATTCTCACTTGGGAAGGTATGCCTGTGCAGCCTTTCTGGCATGATCTTGTGCATGCTAATGTCTGCATAGGAATGAAGCCTGTTATGTTTGCATGTCAACAAGATGGTGAGTCCATTCTTGGGCATCTGCTTGAGCATGGATACATGGTGTCAACCCCAAGCCAACCCCAACTTGCAGTTGCACTTGGGATTGTAGAAGTGCTACATCATGCATGTATATGTGTGTACATGTCACACGAGTCCTTCACATGCATGCTCTGTGACTTGCATGGGGTACATCATGTCTCATCATCTTGACACAAGCTGATGCCATTGTACTAGCAGCTGTACAAGCCCCATCTTTGCCAACAGCTGTCCCAAGCTTATGATGCCTATGTGCTCATCATTCTTGAGCTTGAGAAGAATGTCCAGCAAGCACTAGGTCATGATATGCCTGACTGGTGCTTGCATAATGCATGCCCAGCATGCAATTATTGGGTAAGTACTTCCTCAAGTATCTAATTATCAAGCTGATTCAAGCACACCAGCTTGAAGGAGAGCCTGATCTGGGACATTCAAAGCTTGTCTCGTTGGATGGCAACAACTTGAGCAAGCAGTTTGGTCATGTGGGGCACCAAGATCTCTGCCAGTCCAAGAGCTACTACATCTTGTCCACCAGCTTTGTGGACCAGTATGAGAAGGCACAAGGTCATTGTGGCAAGCAAAACTCTGTCAAATTGCAGCCCATGGACAAGCCCAACAACTCAAGCAAGCACAACTGCACCAAGAAATGGAAGACATCAAACACAAGAGAGCATGCATCACATTGGATGGATGGCCTCAATGCAATGGGCAACTTCTTGTGCACCTGCCGCCAAGGAATTGTCATCTGCTTGGCAGACATGATACATAGTGGTGATGTGAGGGCAACATGATCCAACAATTGTTGATGATCAAATAACCAAACAGGCAACAAGCAAATTGGAGAGTAGTGAGTCATACGTCAATCAATACCTCAACATTTGTTCACAAATAGAGTGATTGACAGGGGTGTTATAAAGTAAGTGGGGATTGGCAGCCAACAGGCACAATTGTGTGTGTGTCGTGTGCACATTTGGAATGATTAGAGCTTCGTGTTTAGAACCTAATTACCTTGGACTGTGGGGTTCCTAAGAGATTAGCTCTAAAGAGCTACAGGGGCTATACCTAGGGTTCTATATATGTCTAGGTATGGAAGTAAAAGGGAAGCAAAGACTGTGGCTGACTATACAGCTTGCTTAGGGCAGGCACCTTGTGTCTCTTGTCTGGTCAGTCCCGCATGATCTATGACTGATGTCTCACGTTCTGGGATCTGTCCTTCCTGGAGTTGGGTGATTGTGGTATTGGCTGTTGTTTGGGGTGTCATGCCATGTGACTGTGCTCTGATCATTGTCGATTGCAGCTGTTCACAATGGGTTTTAGGGATGTCCCCTGACAGGTGAGCTGTGAGTTTTTTTTTGATCAAGGCAAGGCCTTTTGCTGTGCTAAACATGTGAGCAGGTCCAAATATCCACTGGCATGCATCTGCAAGCTCTTGTCAGCATACAAACATGACCTTGCTGTTGGATATGACATTGGCTGCAATCACAGCAAGACATTGGCAAGAAGTATTATAGGACAGGAAGCTCAAGAGAAGAATTTGAAGATGTACATTGGTGCCTTCCATGGGTATGCTCACAATCACAAGTGCCAGCTCCAGTTCCACCTGTGCTGTCTCATGACAGCTGGCTTGGAGACATTTGAGACAAACAAGTGGGTGTTCTCAAAGCAGAACCTCATGGTGCACTTGTTTTGATATGCTTTGGCATACCATTGGCACATGACCTTGCACTTCTTCTGGATGCAATGGGATGAGGACCGACACTGTGGGCTTGGTGAAGTTCTTTTGCATGGTTTTCTCTTACCAGTTAATCAGGCATGTAGGCAACCTCTTGTACAAGAACTAGGTGGCAGCTTTGAACATCATTGCTGAGACTGAGCCAAAGCTCTGCCAAGTGCAAGCTGAGCAACAACTCTCTGACAACAACATATGCAAGTTTATCAAGGAAGAAAAGGCTTATTTTCAACAACTTCAGCATGAGCCTGAGGACAACAACATGGTGTTCAAGTACATGGAAATGCTCAAGGAGCTTCAACAATGCTTGTAGGTGGCATCATTCCATCTCTTGTCCTTCTGACAATGGGCCAGAGACAAGCTCAAGTCATTTGATATCTTCATCAATACCACACCAGACACATTCAACAATATGCCAACAACCGCAAGACAATGAGCACTTCAACTTGACTACAATGCCATGCTTTGGGTGCAGGAGCAATACAAGCATTGCGATATGAGGCCTTAATGGAGACTGAGCGCTGGACAGAAGATATGGTTCAGTGGCATCAAGCAGAGCTTGCACTTGCACAATGCTCCTACAACCAAGCACTTGACAAGTTGGAGGGCTTGGTCATGCAGTGCTTGTTTGAGATGGAGAAGCTGAATCTTCATGGGACAGGTAAGAATTTCAGATCATGTGCATGAACATGATCCAGAAGCTTTTACAGGGTATGCCATGCAAACATTGATCACCAAGGCCATGCAAGAGCATAGTGGAGCAATCTGATCTGCCTTGGAGAAGCACAACAAAGCAGCCCTTGCCCTTGACCCCCCTTGACCAACTCTAACCTACCAAGAGGTTGTTGACATGTCCTTCTTGTCTGACTTCACCTTGTTGCACTACTCCTGCAATGACATCCACAAGCACTGGTGGACTGATCCCCTTGTTTGGCAGAGAATGCTCAATTGGATGCTCATGCAGTGTGCCAAGGAGGAAATCAAGCACCTGAATGTCAAGGTCTGGCACTTGTGGATATTCTTGCATCCCAAGCCACATGCCATCCTTGCAAGAAGCACATGGCCAACTGCTTCTGGCAAGTGAGATGAGCTTGCGGCTTGGGCAGCTTCTTCAAACACATCAGCACATCTGCCAGTGCTTGTTGATGCTCTTCAACTTGGATGGGTTCACTGGTGATCAATCAATCAGCATCTGCATGGGCACCTATGAGTGGCAAGACATGTTCTACCCACCAGCTCAAGAAGATGTGAGTTTGCCCAAGGTCAAGGAAGAAGAAGATGTGTGGGAAGACATGCAGGAGAGCAATCTTGAAGATCAGGGGGAGATCAATGATGATCTCTTGGATGAGTTCAACTGCCTGAATTCCACCTTCTCCCACTTGTTCATCCCCAGTGGGTAGGACATGTAATTTCACAATGATTACATTGTTACCCTGTCCATGTGCATGTACTTAATCTAAATACAATATCATGTTCCTGAACATGAAGCCCCTCAAACTCTTCTCTGAACAAGCAGTAGGGCATGGAACATCTAGGTACAAGTGCATCTGGCACCTCCAGGTCATATCATAAAAACATCCCCTTGTAATGGAAGAAGAACAAGAAGTTGATAGATGTACATGAGGTCATGAATATATGAGACAAGTGAAGGATAAACAGGAATGGATGTGTGTTTACAAGCCCTTCACTAGGGTGCCAAAAGGATCTTAATGTAATATAGTTAATTAATGCCTGTAGGGCATTGTAATAAGAATGAATTATACTTACACTGAGAGTTTTTGGACACCTGGGTGCGACTCTCATTTGCAAGACTTTTTAATATGTCCATGTGTACAAGCTTGTACACATGGACATGTTTTGGAACAACAAATCGTGCCATGCAAGCTCAAAATCAAGTCATATTTTCCAAGAATTTCAAGAAACAATTAATTCATGAACGTGCACAAGGTACTTGTCTTTATTCTTCTATCTCCGCAGTGATGATGTCTGTTTGCTGAGCAACAAGTTCCCAAACATCGACTTGCACATGACTTGAGACCCCAGAAACTGGTTCTGCTCACGCCCTTTCTATTTATTCTCGCGTCGCGGAGGCCCGTCTTCATCATCTTCTCTTTCCTTCCTTCGTCGACGATGACCACAACTTGACAACAAGCTCATCTCTCTGGACCATCGACAAGAACAAGCTCTTCGACATCCACAATGAGTCTCAGGCCAAGGCCGTTGCTCGACTACTTGAACGACGAGGAGCACAGAGACTTCACGGGGGGTAGCATGTTCTTGCACATGCAGAGGACGGGGGAGCACAACCCCGTCTTTGCGGAGGATGCGGATGCAGTTGAGGAGGTTGTTTCTGGTACGCATACTTGTTCTTGGTCTCCTTGGCCCAAGCTCATGTGCATATAGGCATGTACCCGACGATCTTGTTCCCCTTCAACGTCTGGTTCAGCAACCCCCATATGGGTGGCAAGAACTTGCCGAGGGGGCCGATGCAGAAGGTCATCCACTCGTTCGATTCCAAGGGCTTGGTGAACCGCGCCAAGGCCAGGGACAACCCCCCCCCCGACTGGGACAAGATCATGTCGGATGGTCTTGACCTCGTCGGCTATGACACCCACCCGTGGACGTCCAAGATCAACGGTGAAGTCAGGCGCGACGTGTACTTCAATTATTTTATGCCGAAACTCTTTAAGGTCGTAAGTGGTTCTCGTACATGTTCTTGACGCTTGCTGATGATCTTGTAGTTGACCTTGATCGACCGCTGCTGTGGAGGTGTCATCCTCGAGTTCTGTGCCGGGCGCTTGGACAACGGCCCCGGCCAAGAACCCACCATCCACACGTTCTTCTCGAGAAATACGTGGATCGACAAGGACTTCAACCAGTGTCAAGATCATGCGACGAAGATCTTCAAGGCCATGGCATTCATTAAGGCCGACCTCATGGACCAAGCAACCGCCTCTCAAGCTGTCAAGCGCAAGAGGGACCACTTGGAGTCAGCCTACAGCAAGAAGGTTGACCAAGCGCATCGCAACGGACAACCCATCCCTCCCAAGCCCGAACTCCCCGAGGTCCCTCGTGTCAAGCAGCATCCTCTCTCTGTTGTCGATGCCAAGGCCATCCCGAGGACTTGCCCTTGCTCATGTACACCAAGGCCTTCGTCGAGTGGGAGGAGAAGGAATTGAACATCGGGACCGATGCTACGCCAAGCGGCTTCCTCTCGCTCTTGGCCCCCACTGATGCTTCATCATCCTCCCCGGCTGTCGGCACGCCCAAGCCCTCTCAGAAGGGCAAGAACAAGGAGTTCGGCACGCCAACTCCCTCCGGAGGTACGACCATGTGTCATGGACGTGCTGAAAGCGCAAGTTCGGTTGCGTCGGGTCCACCCAGCACGCCCATGCCCTTGGGCTTGCCCTTCAGCCCTACCGTCCCTCCTTCCACCCAGCCCATGAGCACGCCGACGGCCACCTCGACTGTCAGCTCCCCCTTGCACATCTTCGATGCTGCTGAAACAAGCCGCATGGTGCATACCGTTGGACGTGGCAAGGTCCTCACCCTGGCCCCCACCAAGTCCTTCTCCAGGCTTGTGTTCAAGGCTACTCCCGCATGCGCGACTTGCCCTATAACACCCGTGCCGCCTGCGAGAACTTCTTCCATGATGTTGGAGAAGAACATGCTTGTCAAGTCGAATACAACTTGCGCGTCTTGTACTTCTTCGATCATCCTGGTACTTGGACGGACAGCATGAGCGACTTCATCCCCTCGACCTACTGGAAGGACATCCACCCGGTCATGAACGAGGATCGCCTCCTCGACATTTGTAACGGCACCTTCTGAGACAAGGACAAGGACAAGGATCGGATGGGCAACAGGGAGGGCAGGTGGGCAACAGGGAGGGCAGGTGGGCAAGTTTCTCTTTTTCATACACATGGTTCAAGTTTCCCGCATGGCCTGCGCATGTGGGATGCCTCGCTTGGCCTGAGCATGGGGGAGGTCTCGTAGTTTACAAAAAAGCGCTTGTTTTCTGTTCACTCATGTACAACGCTTGCTACGAGTTCTTGTAGTACAGAATGAATATGGAAGCATTTTTGAGGAACTTGTGTGTGAGCGTGGCCTTGGACATCATGTGAGGAAACGCGCCCCGAAACATTACGTGGCCAAGAACTCCTTTTTTCACACGACTTGTCTTCTTCTTGATGGACCTTCTTAACCCCATCCTTCTTGATCTGCATCCACCGGTCACTCGCTATACCTCAAGCCCATGGACATCCACAACATGCCCTCCAACAAGAAGCAATGGGCGGAGCGCAAGTTGACTCGCGAGACCAACCGTTTGCGTCATGCAAAAGCATCGGAGCTGCTCGACGTTGCGGAGCAAGCCTGGCTACAAACACTCGACGAGATCTCCTTGGACACCGGCATCCCCAAGAACGTGCTCAATGCAAACATGAAGGGGCAAAAGGCAGGGTACTTTGATAGCAAGCGGCGTGTGAGCTTGTTCAACGCTGCGAAGCACCTGCTTGCACAAGAGGCCCGCTCCAAAGGTGCGTCCCTCTAAATCTTGCTCTGGAGCCTATCTAATAAAGTACAGGGGAGATATTCTACTGGGCCTTGCCGGAGAACAAGAACATTATCGAGGCAAAGGTCGAATGGCTCCGAACTCATCCTGAAGCTGCACTATCAGCTGAACATGCAATCTTGGCCAAGCGCGAGTCGAAGCACCTTCAAGTCCGAGTCCCTGCACGAGCTTGACTTGCGGACACGGTGCTTATCCAAGACACATTTGAGAAGGATGTGAGTGGAAAGATCTTGTACATGCTTGTGTACTGATCAACTTGATCAGAGTGCAGCTTTCAGCACTCGAACTGGTGGCCATGCTTGTGGCTTGTGGCTTCGTCGTCCGGGGCAACATCAAGGACTACGCCAAGCCCCACTTCTTCGGCGACGAACTCTGCAAGCAATTCTTCGAGGAGATCATTGGATATCCCGTTCTCCAGATTGCCATGGGCTTGGAGGCGTATTGTACAAGTGGGGGAGCTCAAGGCAAGTGTTTGGGTCAAGCTCTTCTGTGGCGCAAGCTGATGAATGAATAAGTGCTGCCGATAACTTGAACAAGAAAGTGAACGAGCTCAAGGCTCATATATGACTGGTGCTCACAACGTCGCTCCGTATGTTAAGCACAAGTGCTGGTTCATGCTGAGGCTCACGGTACTACAGAGAAGCTCACAGGTAAGATGAACATCACGATGTCATACAAGCAATTTGGACGAAATGTAGAAGACCGGCACAACATCAACTTGGAGGGCTGGCCATTGCCTGCCCTTGTGAATCCGTCATACATCTCTACGTTGGCGGACTTGCAGAAGGTACAACAAGCCCTTGCCAATGGATCTTGTTTCTTCCGGACCATGAACGAGCAAGATGTCCGCCGTCGAGTGGAAGAACGAGCACGAACATCTACTTTGGCTCCATGCAAGCGCAAGCACACAGACCAAGACCAAGACCAAGATCGTGATGAAGATGTCGACGATACAAGTGAGCCGGCAAGAAAATCGAGAAGAACCGCCACATGCTCATCCGTTGTCCCCGAGGAAGATGTGCATGATCGACGCACCATGGATGGAAGGTGTTTGACCCCTCATGTGGCCATGGCACAAGCCCATCAGCTTGTGGCCAACAGCGGAAATGGGGAGTATGCGCTTGATTCCTTGTTCTTGAGCGGGGCTAGTTGGGAAACGAACATGTTTGCATTAGATACCTTTGTCCCTCTCTCGTAACTACATACATGCCCCTGTACCCGTGCTGCTCATCAGTACGTGAGCGCCTCAACCACTTGCGCCAGCGCCTGTTTCTTCTTCCACGTCTCAAGTCGTTGAAGGGACTTGCTCTTCTTCTCTTGACGTTGCTTCTGCAATTTTTTCGTTTGCTTGCGCTGGTAGGCTAGTTGTTCTTCTTGAGTTCTGATGAAGACATGAGATTGGATCGAGGAGCATGAACTTGGCTCGCAACCTTGCCAGATACGCAGCATGCTTCCTTTGCTGTGGGGACTGCCCATACAAGAACTTGTCGTTGGGGTTGAACGGTACACGTTGGCATTGTGCATTCACCTCAAACAAGGTGCTCTTGGTGATGATGCGCTTGGCAAGTCCGGGGAAATACGGATATTCAGTGAAGAAGGGCGGCATTGTTGTGGAACGTGGTCGTGATGATGGGCAACCCCGAGTGCCCAGGGCCTTACGGCAGAAGTGTGGCATTGCTGGTGATGCTTCCGTGCATCAGCTGGATTTTAGCTGGATGTGGATACCCTTGTGGAAGACCACGAACATGTGGCTGGAGCGAGCACCACCTCAGCCACAAGTTTGTGGTACGTCTTTGGCCGCATAGGTGCATTGCCACCGTTCGCCTCGTCCCCATCCCCATCCTCGTCCCGATCCCCATCCCCGTCCCTGCCCTCATTCCCCCTCTCCTGCTTCTCCCCCCTCAGCTGTTCCCCGTTTCTATGGTGCCCATCCGCCCCGCCCAGCACCATCGGCTCTGAAGGTGTCATTGCGTCCCCCGACACATGAGTCTCCCGTGTAGTACTGTAAGTCGTATCTACCACGTCCTCGGTTGAGGTTCCGGCACTGATAGTGAGACATAACGCTTCAGCTTGTGCAAAATATAGTAAACACACAAATGGGACTCACGCAGAAGGAATAGGCGACAACACATCCCCAATGGTTTGGGGTATATCACAATTGTGATTCGATGCCAATGACCCCGAAGTGCAGGTAATGTAGTAGGAAGATGCAGCAGTCGTGGTACTGCATGTTGGTAACCCAATGGCTTCGTTGATGGGCGCCTGCTGGCCAACGACCGTGCCCGTCTCCGCGCTCCAGACCCTCACCGTCCCATCCATCGACCCGGAGACGATGCGCTTTCCATCGCTAGAGAAGGCAACAAACTTGACCAAGGCCATGTGCCCAGTCAGCGGCTTGCCGATAGGTTGGCATGCTTCTGCGTCCCACAAACGGACCGTCTTGTCATCAGATCCCGACACGATGTGAGTGCCGTCTGGCGAGTAGGCAACAGAGTTGACGAAGCTGGTGTGCCCGGTGAGCAGCATTCCTACGGTGCGACCACTGTCCACATCCCATATCCTGAGTGCATCAGCCCAGGATACGGACACGATACGTTTGCCATTTGGTGAGAAGGTGACAGAGGTGACGTAGCTAGTGTTTCCGGTCAGCGGCCCTCCTATGGCATGGCTCATCTCCACAGACCACAGCCTGATCGTCCTGTCATCAGATCCGGAGACAATGAACTTGCCGTCACTGGAGAAGGCCACGGAAGTGACCCAGTTCGTGTGTCCCTTGAGTGGCTCGCCGATGGGTTCACGTTTCTCCACATCCCACATCCTGATGGTATCGTCCCAGGACCCCGACGCGATGCGCTTGCTATCCAGCGAAATTGCGAGACAAGTAACAGGAGCATTGTTGCCAGTGAGAGGCTTGCCCATTGCCTCGCCTGTTGCTCCATCCCATATCCTCACGGTGCTGTCCTCTGATCCTGAGACGATGAACTTCCCATCACAGGAGAAGACCACAGAAGTAACCACCCTCGTGTGCCCTGTAAGCGGCGATCTGATTATTTGACCAGTCGCTGCATCCCATAATCTGATTGTGTCGTCCTCATGACCGGATACGATGCGTTTATTGTGAGCGGAAAATGCAACGCACGTGACCCCACTCATGTCGTCATTCAGGGTCTTCGCAGGTTCGTCATTTGGTTCCGCATTCCACACCCTGATCAATGCCGACGCAAAGCACGTGCTGTCATGTGAAAATGCAAGCTCCGTGACGTCATCGGTATGCCCAACGAGAGGATTGCCGATGATCTGGCCAGTCCGCATTCATAAGCTTCACCTCCTCCCCTAAAGCAAATGCAATATGCTTGGAATCACCAGAAAAGGCGACAACACTGGGTTGCAAGGAAAATTCTTTTCGCCCTTCACCTTCGCCAATAGATTCACCGGTGTCCGCATTCCAGAGTATCAGCTTGTCATAGGATCTCGAGACGATCCGCAAGTTGTTGTGAGAGAACCTCAGAAACTGAATTTCCTCCTGGTGGCCAATCAAGGGTGGGCAGATGGCTTTCCCAGTGTTAACATCCCACACCATGATCATTCCATCCTTACACCCAGCTGCAATGCGCGTGCCATCTCTTGACAAGATGAGACATGTAGCTTCTTGTTTGAAAGGAGGTATGGGAGCGCTCGTAGCTTTCCCTATCACCGTATCCCACACCTTCACGTGCGTCGCTGAGGTGGCTATGACGGTGCTCCCACTGTCATGCCACAGTCCAACAACACCAATGGGAACATCAGGAGGCCCAATAGACGGTTCTCCTATTTCTTCCCCGGAATCTACATTCCATATCTTCATGCTGTTGTCCTCTGAGACCGATAGGACCTGCTTCCCGTCCTTTGAGAAGCGTGCGGAGATCACTCGATGTGGATGTCCAGTGAATGCGCGGCCAATGTCTTCACCCTTTTCCACATCCCACATCTGGAGGGAACTAGCAGAGCAGGTAGCAAGGACCGGAATGCCACTGCCCGTCATGGGGATGTCTGTCCAGACCTCGCCAGGAACAGACACGACAGTCCCCGACCGCTCCCCGTTCTCCGCGAGCCACGCCCTGATGGTACCATCCGAAGCACACGAGACGATACGGGTGTCATCTTGCGAAAATGTGACAGAGCGAACACCATTAGCATGACCAGTGAGGGGATTTCTGATCGCCTTCCCTGTGTTTGCGTCCCAAATCCTGACTGTGCAGTCGCCAGATCCGGACACTATTCGAGAACCGTCATGTGAAAAAGCTAAACAGGAGACCGCTTTGGCATGCCCAATAAGCGGATCGCCAACCATTAGACCGGTATTGGTATCCCATATTCTGATTGAACAATCTTCGTATCTGGATATGATTCGCGTGGCGTTGGGAGAAAAGGCCAGACTGAGGATGGACCTTGTATTTTGCGCGGCTGTTAGTGGATCACCAATGAGGAAGCCGGTCCCCCCATCCCACAATCGGATTGTTCCGTCTTTTGACCCTGAAACCATTCTCGAGTTATCATCAGAAAAGGCGATTTTGGTCACGTAATCGGTATGTCCGCCGAAGAGTTGGCCAATGACCTTGCCATTCGTCACATTCCATAGCTTCAATGGGCCATGATAAGACTCGGAAACCATCCGGGATCCGTCATGGGAAAGGACGATCCAGTTAGTCATGTTCTCGTCCTCCGGCCAGGAACGGTAGATTCTTTCTCCACTTGTTACATCCCATATCCCAACTGTTCCATCCCTGTAAACAGCTGCTATCCGCATAGCATCTCTGGATAAAGCTAGGCACAGAATTCCGGCATGATCAGAGACAATCTTGGTTATGACTTCCCTCATCTCTGTGTTCCACAGCGTGATTGTTCTCATAGTGGACGCTACGAGAGTGCGGCCACCATCGTGCCACAAGTCTATCGCAGAGGCCGCGCCCGGATGGCCAGCCAGCAGCTCGCCGATGATATCTCCAGACGCTGCGTCCCATATCCTGATTGTGCCGTTATCCGACGCGGATATGATTCGCTTCTCATCTTGCGTAAACGCTACTGAAGTTACCGTCTCTTCAAGCCCGGTCCATTCCTTGTTGACGTCCAGACCGATTTCTTCCTCGGACCTTCCGGCAATCCTTAAGTTCCAAATTTTGATTCCTGTACCTTCAAAGCCGGCAACAGCCTGGAGGCCGTCATCTGATATCGCCAACGATGTAATTTGTTCGAGATAACCCCACTCTTTCCTCCCAATAGCCTCGCCAGTCTTCGCGTTCCAGGCCACAACAGTGCTACCAGAATAGGAGATGAGATGTGCAGCATTGTGAGAGAAAGTGACCGAGTCGACCATGCTAATGCGCCCAGCGAGGCGTTCCCATAGCAACTCCCCTGTTTCTTCATTCCCCAGCTTGACCATACATTCTGCAGATGTGTACATGATGTGGTCCACGTCAGGTGAGATCGCTGGAGATGTAATGTAGGCAGTAGGTTCGACTGGGATATCGTTCATTGTATTGCCAGTCTGCACATCCCACACTCTCAATGTTGCGTCTTTGGATCCCGAAAGGACACGTGCGCCGTCGTGCGAAGAGTCAAGCCAGGTGATCGCCGCTCGGTGACCGATCAGCAGATCACCTTCTTGGAGACCTGTCGCTGTATTATACACCCAGATTGTACCATTGCTTGAACCCGACAAAAGAAATGTGTCATCAGCCGTAAAGGTGAGGCAAGAGACGAGCCCAGCAGGGTATGGAATGACATGTCAAAGCGTGGGCCAGGTTGTCGAGTGGGGACACGTGACGCGGGCGATGTTTCCATATCGGGGCCGGTACAATTCTCCCAGCTTCGACATTGATGGCGTCCACGTCAATGCTGACACATAAATGTGTGCGGCCGACTCGGAAATAAGGCGACCGAATCTGCGAAGGAATTGCTGTGCCTCTTTCGTGCAATTGGTCTGAGGTCTTCCTATTAGCTAGGATGAGTAAAGCCGGACAGTCAGGGTGGGATGAACGAACCGGCAACTGATTCATCGCAGCAGCTAAGCCTGGACCGAGCTCACGAGTAACATGTGAGACGCTCGCCGCATCCACCCAAAACAAAAAATTCTCCGTGAAGAGGTGACGGAGCAAGCTCGTGATATCTGACCCGCGTTCGAATCCTTCTTCGCTTTGGGAAAGATGTTGGCACCAATATGCGCATGCGTATTCGAGTTCCTCTGGTACTTTTCCCTCGTATCCACCAGAGGGCCATATCTTCGTGTTTGGGAGGTATGACGTGTCTATCTTCCCCATATTGAAATGTAATCGGGTCTTGAGCAGCCCCAAACAGGCCACAGCGAGTTGTTCGTGGTGGCCAGAACCTCCAATGAAGAACTTTTCCCCACGCTCACGATCTTGAAGAAACTCGGAGAAGGAGATGTGCAGAGGTCGGACTGCTTCCCCATCCCCATTCACCCCGCTGAGGAGTGAGCCGAGAGACCTGAGTATGTCGGTCCAGTCGACTTCATCCTCTGGACATGTCACGCTCATAAGGCTTGAGATCGAACCTGTACACAGCGGTTTGAACGTCGTCAGGACCATCCTGATAACAGCTTTGAAAGAGTCAAGCACTCCAGAGGATGCACGTGGTAGATGGCAAAACGTGTCTTCAAGGACAGTGTGATACAAGCTGTCTAAGCCTGTGTCGGGACCGCTCATTAGACGTTTGTATCGTGTCATTGGCCGTTCTCAGGAACATGAGTTTTGATATGGTTGCAAGCTATGAATGCCCACTGGAACACGCCTCCCGATTTGATGGCTAATGCTCGGAAGTCTTCTTGTTGCAGCCCAATTCCAGGGGCACTGGCAGGTTGGTCTGCTGTAAGGAGATGGCAAGTGTAGGCAAAGATGTCATCTGAGACATAGTCATCGCTCTCAGCGGTGAGCACTCGTTCGACGTGAATGTTGTCAGATGGCAGCAGGATACGGTTGATGTCAGGCAGATCTCGTGATACCAAGACAAAACGAAAGTAAGCTGGAAGCTCCTTTGCTCGCTGTGCAATGACTTGAAGCATTTGCTTGCGTTCCGACTCCGTCCCACTTTCATCCACAGCATCAATGATAATGCCGATCATGCCGCTCACATCGAGCATCCCAGCTGGCTTGATGAGGAACATTTCAAACTGCAAATTGATGTTGTTGGTGCCACACATGCTCCTATCATCTCGAACGGACTCGGATAGTGCCGCTTTGAATGCAGGACAGCCTTTGCACAGATCGTGGGCAATGTTTCGAAATAGACTCGCGGGTCTCCGCATCGTAGCCTCATTCCGGTTGAAGCAGAACATCGACCCAAGTTGACCGTTTTTATTCAATTGGCCAGCAATCGTGTGCGCAATCGTCGACTTGCCAGTCCCAGCAGGTCCAAGGAGGACAAAGATCTCAGCCGTCTCAGCTGTGTTCGAATTCGCCCATTCGGTGATCTGCTCCAGTATAGCTGTGCGCGTGCCGGAAAGACAGACCTTATCGGAATCGTAGCCAGCTTCATTCACATAGGGGATATCCCGTATGTCGAGTTTGGCACCTGGCATGAATTTAGAAAGACGCCCTATGATGTGCAAGTTAGACCTACCAATAGCATCAACACTTGCTGCCATCATGTCGAGCTTCATAGCCATGCAGAATGCTGTGAACTCCGTCCGGAGCTGTGATCCCTCTCGGAAGTCTTGTTTGAATGCGACGAAGCTGTCTTTGTACTGCTTGATCACGCCATGTGCTCCAGATGCGAGTTGATTTGACAGCCTCGATACTGCCTTTAGATCAGTCACAGACAAAGTGCCAAAATAGAAAGACGCACAAAATCCTTTGTCTTTGGAATATGTTGAAATGAAGTTGGCACACTCCACCGTCTGCTTGGCAAGCCGGATCAAAGCCCTCTCTCGCAATGTGTCCTTCCCTGGATTCTTCATCATCTCTTTCAGTTCGCTTGCCTCCTGAATGAACGCATATGTATCGTTCATGATCTCGACGAGACTCATGATGTTATCGTCTCGGTCTTTCTGCGCTTTGACCACCTGATCAGTCGTCAGCCCGGACACTAGAGCAGTTACGGATGACGATACCAACTTTGTATACAACGGTAATCGCAGACCAAGCTATCTTCGCATACGGATGAACCTAGTCTCCATCAACGGGCTGATAACACAGAGCAGACCAATGTGCCGGGCACACCTCAGTTACAATGTCCATCACTTGTACAAACCAGTCTAGTTTGCCCAACAGGGTCGAACACGTTGTCTCCGCTGATGCTACTGCACCCTCCACCTTCTGGCCATTGTTGACTAGCGCTGCCACATGGGTCACAGCTGACGATGTTTGCATTGCTTGTGCACTTATGGTTACAGCCTGGACGAGATCCGAGTCGTCCGTACTGGCCGGCGCACTGCTGTTGCCATTTCGCTCGAGGTCGAGATGGACGTGGATGACGGATTCTATCCCAGTCATTGGCTTGAGGGAGATTGGCGAGTCTAGCCAATAGGTATCAATGAGTGAACATCGTCAGAAGGCAACAGGACGCACTACTGTCAGCCTTCAGCCATTCCTCGAGCACCATATCCACCGCTGCCACTTCTTCGACTGGTCGATTCCTGTGATTCTTGCAGAGTGTGACTCTAAGCTTCGAGCTCGGCGCGGCCTCGCTGTGATGCCTGTCAGCAACGCGCCGGATTTCTATGCGGAGATGATTCACGCACAACGTGTGTTGATTTGTGTCTCCGTTCTAGTGGACTATCTGCCCTTTCTTCCTAACCTTCGTGCTCTTCCATCCCTCTCTGCCTTCGAGATCAACTCGTGGAAAGTACTTGCCCTTTGACTTGAGTAGGCCACGAGGAGGCAGACCGGTCACGGTGGCGCCTATCTGAGTGTCAGCAATGTCCAACACGCGTAGAGATGCGGGCTCACCTGTGCATATATATATGGACCTCAAACACTGCTGGCTGCTGCTGCCTGGGTCTTGAAGAGCGCCAGTCATGTTCAATGTCCTCCTGAGTCGATGCTTGCACGGTATGTAGTTTGAGACAGAGATCTCTGCGTCGTCGTGGTTGGAGTTGAAGAAAACGATACAGCGTCTAAGTGCCAGCAGGTATCATTGCCATTCTCACAATAGGAAGTTCGCACCGCTTGCCATGAGGCAGAAATCCAAGGGAGCTGCGGCCGCTTGAGAACAGAAGAGTGACATTTCCGCAAGTTGTCAACTGTTGGAAAGAGTGTTGGAGTATTATTCCATGGTGGTTTGTTGATGCCAGTGTAGAACGTTGATGAAAGAGGATGGACAACTAAAAGCATTGCCGCGTCAACTGTGTAGCGCTTAACCTCTCCATCAACCTCCTCAACCTCAATCACACAGTCATCGTCATCACCCACGCCTATGCAGATAGAGTAGGTGTACGATGGCTACTCCCTCACTTGAAGGTGTACTATGTTCCCCTACCTCCTCTGCCAAAAAACCAAGTCACCCTCCCGAACTTCTTCACCTTCCTTCCCTACCTCCGCTCCATCCTTTTAAGGGAATACATCCAGCTTGTACACGCACATGGAGCGCTATCGTCCTTGGGCCAGGAGGTGCTGCTTCATGCGCACCTGATGGGGGTTAGGACGGTGTTTACCGATCACTCCCTGTTTGGGTTCGACGACGCTGCGAGTATATTGACGAATAAGCTGCTGGAGGGGGCGTTGAGATGTGTCGATGCGGTCGTCTGTGTTTCACATACCGGGTGCGTACACCTCTCTATCGACGCGCATACACTGACATGAACAGCTGGGAGAACACGGTCCTGCGAGCAAGACTCGAACCGAGCAAAGCACACGTAATACCCAACGCTATCGTCCCCTCCGACTTTGAGCCCTCGTCCACTCCTCCCCCTGCAGAACCTAGTACGCCGCACGCCGTTCTTTCCCTCCACGCTGCGTCCTCCCCTAACGTTGCACAGTAACGATCGTCGTCATCTCCCGCCTTGTGTACCGGAAAGGGATAGATCTTCTTATCTCAGCCGCACCAAGGATCTGTGCGATGTACCCAGACGTGCGGTTCATTGTCGGTCCGTCCTTCTCTCTCCTTTCCTTCTCTTGCCGTATCTCGCTGACAACATGTAGGGGGAGATGGTCCAAAACTCACTGCGCTCGAACAAACGCGCGAGACACACATGCTGCAAGACCGCATCCTACTGCTCGGCAGTGTACGACACAGCGACGTCCGATCCGTATGCCCTCCCCTTCCCACCCTCCAGCCCCATACTCGCACCTCTGACAGCACACCAGGTCCTCACACGGGGGCATATATTCCTCAACACCTCCCTTACAGAATCCTTTGGTATCTCGATACTGGAAGCGGCGAGCTGTGGGCTGTTTATCGTCAGTACCCGAGTGGGAGGTGTTCCGGAAGTACTGCCTGCCGACCTGGTGGAGTTCGCCAACCCGGATTCGGACGGTACGCCCCCTTCCCTCTCTTTCCCCCGTTGCATCTACCCAGACCTCGGATAACATAGCGTACAGACGTGATCCGCGCCCTAGAGCATGCGATCTCCCTCGTACGCCAAGGAGGACGCGACTCACACGCCGTCCACGCTCCCGTTAAGCAACTGTACGACTGGGCCCGGGTCGCCAAGCTTACGGAAGAGGTGTATGAGAACGTCTTGGCGAGCGAGCCGTATTCCCTTTGGGAAAGGATGGTCCGGTATGCTATCCTGTCCTGTCCCCATCCTCCTTTCCTCGGTATATGCTATGCCGCTGGGGACTTCTGCTGATGCGCCACAGGACCTCCCAGCTAGGGATGTTCGCAGGACCGATATACCTCATCATCCTCGTCGTGGACTGCTTTTGGTTCTTCATACTTTCCAACCTGGTGCCGTACAACGAACAAGAGGACGGGGTGCACGTGGAATGGGATAACACCCGGTGGGAGGAGGCACGTCAGCTGTCTCCCCGGATGAGCGAGCGCTGATGGGGTATAGCTCATGAAGGAGGCGAGGAAAGAGGTTGAGGGAGGATGAGTTCGGGGCTGCTGTTATCGCTGGGTGTGCGGTGACTGGTGTGCAGGTGCGCTCGGTAGGCGGCTGCGGGCGCGTGCTCATTCAAATAGTCGCAGCCTACACTTTCACAGAGACTGGCACATTTCCGACCCCCTCTCGCCTCGAGGGCAAGGACGCCGTGGAACTAAGCCTACACGAAGTCAGTCCGAGCCAGATCTCTCTGTAGAGAGCTACTAGAGGTTGGGAATGAGCCGAGGATTGGGAGATGCTTCGGCGTTTTCCGTTCCTTCCCATCTTGCTCTCTGCTCACTCTCACTAGGCCTATGGAGAAACCTGTGTTTTGCCACTACAGAACGCCATCGATCCTCTCGTACTACAATATCACCCCCACGTATCAAGCACAGTTCTTCGTCTATGCGGGCTGATGGCGGGCGCTGGAGGGATTGTGCTCCGTTGATGCTCCGATAGGGAAAGTGGGTGGGGAGCGGAGGATTGAACAAGCAGCATGGGGATATATATGCGAGAGCTGCCAGGAGCGGTGCATGGGTAGAACTGCCTGGGTGGGGATTGGACTACCACGAGCGAGCAGTATAAGGTTCGTATTCTCCTACAACTATTCCCAGGGCTGTGAATTGACATCGATTTATGGTTAAGAGACACAGACGCGTCTAAACATCTTAGTTACTGTGTCTATCTCAAGAATACAAAACCGACTGCTACTTGGTAACTGGCTAAAGGAGTTTCATCCAGTTCTTGGGAAGGACTTGTCAGTCACCGCGTTCGTCCAGAGAGGTGTCCTCATCGCGCTCGTCAAACTCGGGGAAGTCGTCAAGATCCCGCTCATCTATGTACACGTCCATGTCATCGTCGATGTCGTCCAGCGACCGTTGCTGCGGAGAAGGGCTCGTATTCGGCTTTGCATAAGTCCTCGCCTTCGCGAACGCGGTGCGGATAAGGTCGAAGGGACTGGCACGTTCGTCCAGATAGTTATCCTCATCGCGCTCGTCAAACTCAGGGAAGTCCTCAAGATCCCGCTCATCCAATTCGTCCTTCTCCTCAACCGAACGTCCGGAATGCTGGGGTTCATTCTGCTTCGCGGGAGAAGGAGTATCGCGTGTTGCAAGTTGATAAAAGACGTTACGTGCGGCAAGGTTCGGGGCGTTGAGCGCTTCTAGGTCCTGGAAGATAGGGGCAGCCAATGACGAACTTGCGAGAGCTGCTATCAGGATGGAAGTGGTAGAAGCGTGCATTGTAGAGGGAAAGAGGAATCAAAGTCAAGAGAATGGGTTGGTGTCCGGCACCGAGTAGTCTTGTGTTTGTAAAAGTGTAGATGAGGGTGACCAGCACCGCGGCTCAAGGGTATGTGTACGATAACTTGTGAGTTTGTAGACCCGTTTTATACGCCAGAGGGCGGAAGGCGACTGCATTACCTTGAAACCTTGGGCCGGAATTGCAAAAGATCGAACGGCGAATCTTACCTAGCAGAGCCCGCTTCGATAACTAATAAATACTCCAAGATATTCAGTTGCTATCGGAAGGCCGAGTTAGCACTGGAATATGGCATGGATGCTCAGCATTAAACGGGCGCTAGTGTAGCCGCAAAATGGTTGATCGAGTCTGTGTAAAGGAGACCGTATATGTGGTGCAGGCAGGGGGTGGATCCATAACTCGAGTCTTCATGGCTATGCCATGACGGTGCCCGAGACCATCCTCAGCCGGAAGGGTCTCTCGCCCACGGGACCCGCGCGGGGAGTATTGATATCATGCCAGAGCGCTGTACACATAAATAGACTACAATCACAATACAAAGGTATAAATTGGGTTGATAGGCAACACAGCGGCCTATAACTTTCTACTCAACTCTGCCCCAGAAGCGCACACACTCCTCCACACCTGCTAGTTCCACAACGAGGCTCAGAGACTGCGTCTGTACATATATCACCTGCCTGGCTGAGCAGGAGGTGTAAGGGTCCGTATATGACCCCGTAGTTACCTTTTTAGGTAGGATCACCTTGCAGAGGTGATCATGATCATCCAGAGGACTGACACGTAGCAGGTGGCTGTAGGCCACCCTTCTCTCTATCTCTTGTTACTACACTAATGTATTACTACTAGTTAGTAATACTATTAATCAGTGTATGTATCAAGGGGATAAGGGCACCTTAAGCCCTTTCACTTTTTTCCACTACTCCAACAAGTGGAGTTTATAAAGGAATAGAGCAAGAAACACTCTGTGTCAGGTTCTAGTCTCTGTATTACAGAGACCAGCTAAAAAAATGGCAGGACACCTTCCACCCAGTAGAAAGACTGAGGTCAGTCCTAAAGGCAGCTCAGGACCTGGAGTTGTGGATACTCCCACAACCATACCAGGTTCTTTGAGCTTTTCTGAACTTGGAAACAGTTCAGAATGGGTGTCTGGGCAACAGGAACCCATGCAAAGAGATCAAAGTACTGATCTCAATGCTCCTGCTCAAAGAGAGCAAATGGAAACTGAGGATTCCAATATGCTATTGGACAAGGATTCCTTGGCCAATGGTGCTTCGAATAGAAGCAATAGTCAGATCATAACTGGTCCGATTGAAACAGGGGATCAATTAGACCCTCATGCAGATTTGAGTCAGATGCTTGACATTGCAGACTCTTTGCAACACTTGATTGTGGAGCTAAATACCCTGGCTATGGCTAGCCAGAACCTGGAACACATACAGAGGTATGCAGAGATGGCATGGGAGATGTTGAGTCTCTGTATGGAAGATGTGGCCTATGGCTCCGGGCCATGACCAAGTCTCTCCCAATCTGGGATGGGATTGCAGATGTTGCCTAACTTGCCACATTCATGAATCCCTTCTGGGGAGGAAAGATCCAAAGCAGATCCTGAAAGAGTATCCTTAAAGAATGCTACAGAGCTTGAAGAGACTCTGCTAAGAGTCTCTCCCAGCCCTCCCAGTATGGAGACAAGGAAAGAACCCTCTCCAAATGTTCATTTTGATTTCAACCAAGAGGGTCCATACATACTGAAGTTCCCATTCAGGGACCTTCCCAACAGTTCTGCACATTCGAACCAAAGGTCCACTACTTGTGGACCTTACAGTACTCCCATGTTTAGGAGCAAAGACAATCTCCTAGGAGGATCAACAATTCCCACCACTCCTATGTGGAGGGTAGACAGATGGTTACAGATGTCTAGGACGCCTGTAAATAACCATATTCCATCTTCTAAGACAGGATTGAAGCCTAAGGCTTTGGAAACCTCCTATGGAGGTGAAGCAGACATAGAGAATTTCTCCCGATGCTGGTACATGCATTTTGTGCAGCCGGAATGACCAGGCCTGACTTTAGTGATTGGCAAATCACTTATGCCAGTCAACATGTGACTGACAAAGCTCACCATTGGGTAGAGCAAAACATTGATCTAGGTAAAACACCTAGAGATCAATGGACATTTTCCCAGATGATCTGGGGATTGTACAATCACTTCTTCTCAGCAGAAGAAACATTGAAAGCATATGGTGCTTTTGACAGCTTGTTGCAAGGACAAGACACTGTTGAAGTGTATAAGGACAAATTAATGTCCAAAATGGGTAGGATGCACAAACATCCTAACAACTTCCAAATTAAAAGGAGGTTCCTCTTTGGATTGAACAAAGAGATAAGCACCAAAGTGCTTGAGTTGGGTTATGACATTGACAACAAGACATTTGACATGTTGTATACTCATGCCATTGAGTCTGAGAGAGGACTTAACATGGCACAAGGGTTACAGGCATATAGGAATATGTCCAAAACATTGTCCCCCTATGGAGGGATGACAACAGGGTATGGAACACCATGGCCACTATTGAGGAAATTCTGGCAGGCACAGAACCCATAATGCATTTGGAGGAGCACAAAAAGCCAGCACTCCCAAGAGGTATTATCATGGCTCCAGAGGTCATTGGACTGAGAGATATATCCATTGAACTCAGAGACACTGGGTTTCAAACTCTTGGCTGCCTCAATTTGGGATGCTTGCTCATTGTTATACACCACACAGTCTGGCATCACATGGGCTTGGTTTACACTCCTATGGAAAAGGTGCAGATGAGGTCGGCAAATGAAAGCATCAGTAGTATGTTGGGATGTGTTCGAAACCTTTGGATCATGGTCAGAAACATCTCAGGACTGTTCCAGGTGCATGTGGCCACCACATTACTGGTCAAACTGCTCCTCAGAAGGCCGTTTCTAACCCTGTTCAAGTGTTCCACTCAAGATTTCAAAGATGGGTACCAGGAGATCACCTTCACCTGTCCAACTACATCAAAAACCACCATCGTCACAACCTGTTTGTCAAACCTGCACATGTCAGAGGATTTTTGAGAGTTGAGGAACTGAGTTACACTCAGAGAGACTCCCCTCACAGTAGACTTATCATGACAACTCTGAAGCTGAGAGAGCCAGCATGGCAATTTTGAGATTTGAAGGTCAAATTGATACCTGACATCCTGGCCATATGTTATATTGATTCGGAAATCCTAAACTGGCAATACCAATACAACCCATACTTCCACAAGCTCCTCGCTTGTGCATACCCCCCAATCCAAGCTCTCACCATTTGAAAGTATAAGAAAGTGGCTGATCATATCAAGCCAGTTCCTGCTGATCCAACCCAAAAGGTGTCCAAAATATTGGTCCAATGGGTGATGTGCAAGAACTCACTAGGGAAAGAGGGGAGAGATGGGGAAAGTCAGTAGGAATGTGGGAGTCAGCCTGTAGCTGAGCTATCAAAAATTGGTACACAATAATCAGAGCTTGGTGTCTGTCCAGTCCAGTCACAATAAGTCAAGTCAAAATCCACTAAGTCAAGTCAAGTCTGCCAGTATACCAATAATCAGATCCATATAATGCTAACCAATAAGGGGCAGAATAAGCTAGGTACAGGAGTTTCTGGAAACTACTTATACTAGCTACTAAAAACTGCACTCTATACTAATCTGGTCTCTGGATACCTCTCCTAGGCAGACATTGGCATGCCAAATATCCATGTGGGTTGACCCCATTGTGGAGGAAACCTACAGTCATCATGCTGAATATCCGGGTCATCCTGTCACATGGGAAACCTTGCAGTCATCATGCTGAATATCTGGGTAGGGTTGAGACTCATTGCTGAGGTCTGTTGTCTGCATAGTGAGGGTCCATAGTGCTGCACAACAGTCTCTGAGGCCCAAAAATAGCTGTGGGAATATTGGCCTGACACACCCCACCAGAGGTGTGGTTGTTCACCACTGCACACCCCAAAGAACTGAAGATAAACTGTCATTTCCTGTCCAATCCATTAGACCAGTTAGAACTGTTACCAGTCTGACTGCCCAACTTTGTTCCAGGCACTCAGCTTACAAAAGAGCATTTCAAAGCACTTGAAATCAACAAATTGAAATTCCTTCTACCCAAAGAGGAGATGCTTGCAGCCTGGGTGCTGAAGATGCATGAATATGCATTTTCATGGGCTGAGTTGGACATTGGACAATTTCAAGCCAACTATTTTGATCTGGTTATCTTTCCAACAGTTGAACATGTTCTGTGGCAGGAATGAAATATTCCAGTGCTGCCTGCCCTTATGGAAGATGTGATTAAAGTCCTCCATGCCAAGGTAGCTGCAGGCACCTTCAAGCACTCTCAGTCCACATATTGATCTTGCTGGTTCCTCATTCGAAAGAAGAATGGAGAACTGAGGCCCATCATAGATGCCTGGCCCTTAAACCAAGTCATGATACAAAGCAGCACAGTTCCCCCATTGACAGAACATATCCTGGAAGACTTTGGATTGAGAGGATGTTACAGACTCTTAGACTTCTTTCAAGGATTTGAACAGCACCCCATTGCTCTGAGTTTGAGGGACTACACTTCGTTTCAGTCTTCCATTGGCCCACTCAGGTATACCATTGCACCCATGGGCACCCACAACATGCTGGGCATCATGCAGGACAACATCAACTTCATCTTTCAGGATGAAATCCCTCATTTGACCACCTGGTTCATTGACAATATTGGAGTAAAAGGCCTGAAGACTCAGTACAAAAAGGCCAATGGAGAGTTCAAAACAATCCCAGGCAATCCTGGCATTTGACATTTTGTTTTTGAACACCTCAGAAACATGCACCAAATCATCCAGCAAGCTGAACATGTGGGAGGAACCTTCTCCAGACCAAAAGTACATTGGTGTGTCCCAGAAATAATACTCCTTGGCTACAGGTGTTGCTACAAAGGCCATGCTCCAGACCCATGAAAAGTTCAAAAAATCACTGAATGGAAGCTGCCATGTGAAAATCTCTCAGAAGTCAGGGTGTTCCTCAGCACAGTAGGTGTCCTTTGAATTTTCATTGAAGGATTTGCTTGGAAGGCATGCCCACTGGAATGTCTGAAATGCAAAGGTGTGCCATTTGAATTTGGACCTGAACAATAGAGGCTGTTTGAGTTCTACAGGAATCAGCAATTGTGGCAGGAACAAACAACATCCTCAAGCCCATTGACTATAAGTGCAACCAGTGTATCACCCCAGCAGTTGACTCTTCAAATATTGGTACTGGGTTCATTTTGTATCAGAACAACAAAAAAGGAAAGCACCACCCATCACAATTCAGATTGATCAACTGGAATGAAGTTGAAAGCAAGTATTTGCAACTGAAGCTCAAACTGTACAGCCTCTACCAAGTGTTAAAGGTGTTTCAAATCTGGCTTGGTGGCATTCCAAATTTTGATGTTGAGGTCAATGCAAAATACATCCAAGGGATGTTGAACCACCTGGACATACAGCTGAGCATCATTCTGAACTGGTGGATCCATTGGATCCATCTTTTCAACTTTGAACTCCACCATGTCCCAGCAGAATGACATACTGGGCTGGATGGTCTTTTGAGACGACCTGTGGCCTGCCAATCCAATATTGATGACCATTTCCCCAAATTCAACAATGATGACACCCTTGGCCTGTCTTACATGTTTGTATTGGAACAGTCCCTTTAAAGCCCTGTTCCAAAATTTTTGAACCCCCCAGAAGAGGTGCTACCTAGGCTCAAAAAGACAAAGGAGGTAGACAACAAGATCCTAGCAATTCAACAATACCTAAGGAACTTTTGAAGACCTTGAAGTCTAATGGACCCACAATGGAAGTCATTTCTAGAAAAAATGTTGCATTACTTCCTTGAAGGCCAGGACAATCTGTACAAAAGGGACAAAAACAGAGAACATCAGCTCTATATTGAATTCAAAAAGAGGATCAATGTCCTTTGGAACATGCACAACAAGATCGGACACAGGGGCTTTTGAATGGTATATGACCATATTTGACTTTGTTTCTTCTGGCCAAACTTGATGGATGATACAAAATGGTACCTAAGGATATGCAACAAGTGCCAATGACAACACATGGTTATTCCACCCACAGTACAGACTCCACAACCACAATTCTTCCAAGCTCACTGCAACATGATGTTTATGCCACCCTCAAAAGGTCAATACCAAGGAATGAGGTACATTCTGCAAGCTCAGTGTTTGCTCATGCATTGGCCAGAGTACATGATCTGCCGGAAGGAAATGGCTGAGGTCATACAGGACTTCATCCACAAGAACATCCTCTGTCATTGGGGTGCTATCGGCGAAATTGTCACAGATAACAGGTCTCCTTGGATCAGTGCTATGAATTCCCTCAAGGAAAAGTACCTGGACATTATAGAGGCAACTTGGCTAGCTCCACCCCTGTATCAACTCCTGTCATGTGCAGACTTAGTGGCATTCCATGCTTGATAACTCCTAAAGAGACCAGAGGACCTAAAATGGGTCAGCAAATGGAACATTTGAAGCTCAAATTGACTTACCCCATCTGATGCTGACAGCAGATCAGGCTTGGCCTTGGCAGCCAGTGCCAAGAGCTCCTCGCTGAGCTTATTCTTTGGTGTTTTGCCTGTCTTCTTCTTGTTGTTGTTGGGAGCAGGCATCAACTCAACCACAGACAGGGACTTGGGAGGCAGAGAAGGCAAAGAAGCAGTGGCAGAGATGGAAACCCTCAACTGGGAGCACCAAATCAGGATCTCCACGACAACAGTTGTTTTCAGATTGGTTCAAGTGGAAGCTGGCTTCACAGGAGTGCACACCAGGGTTGCCTTCTTGGGCAAGGGAACTGGTGTCACTACCTTCAGATCAGGCAGCACTGGGCTTCCTTCAATGCCGGCCATTTGATACATCTGAACAATGTTCAAATGTTGAGTCTTCTTGATCTCAGGCAGCACATTCCAAACCCCTTGTTTGGCCTCAATTGTGGCTTCAAGGTTCTCATCTGGCTGTTCAAACATCAGTCATGGTTCAAAAATAGGAAGAAAGGGGCACACCTCCTTGTCACTGGCATGAACTGCCTTGTGATCTGCCTGATGCCTGAGCACCCATGTATCAAATGGCGGCTTGTCATCCCTCCCTACCACAGCCATCCTTGGCATCTCTACCCACTCCTCAAACAGCAAGTAAACTGGGCCCCCACAAGTTGCCAGCTTCACAGTGATTTGTTTCCCCTGTGGGCAAGTTAGCAGGACACAGGGAAAGGAAAGGAGCACATACCATGTAAGCATACCACTGCACCTTGAATGCTGGACCCATGTATGATGCCGCCATGGGAGGCACAAACTGCCACTGCTCCTTTGAATTGTTCTTTGTGATCCACTTGATCAGCTCGACCTGCCAAAAGTTAGAATCAAAGTTTGAAAACAGTGAAGAACACTCACCCAAAACTTTGAGACTCTGCTGACTTTCTGCCAGGCCTCAGGGTCCTCATTGGGGGCTGGTACCATGGCGAGGATCTCAGGGAGATCCTTGCTGGGTGGCTCCTACCAAAATTGTGTCAGTGTGAGGACACATATATGCAGTCAAAACACACCTGTTCCTCATCACTCCCTGCTGGCTCCAGAGTGGTCTCCTTCACAATGCTTTCCTAACAAAACAGGTCAGCATGGGGCACAAAAGAACATGAGAGAGAAAATGTACCTCTCACATCTCATCCATGACTTGGTCCTCCTCCTCTACTTTGTGCCACTTGGTGACAGCTTTGACCTCTTGCCCCTCCTCAGGCTCTTTGTGTGCCTCCAGTTCCTGTTTGACCCGCCTTGAAGAACAAGTCAAAGAGACCCTCAACTTCAGGGTCAAGGTCTTTGAAGGGGGTGCAGATGCCTTCTTTGAGGGCATAACCTTCATGGACACCAGTTTTGCAATTGACTCTGGGTGATTGGCCACAGGCTCCAGCTCTGGTGTCTACACAGCAGTCAGCAGAGGCAAGGACAGTAGAGAAAAAGGAAGGGACACATGGCAGGGGGATCTTCCTCCTCAGGCTTGTGGTCCTGCAACAAATCCACCAACTCCTTTGACTGAGTCTTCTTACCAGAGGCCTTCTGAGACCTCGAACCTTTTTTCATATCTGTGGTGGAAGGCTTCTTGATCAAAGAAGCCTTGGGCTTTGTCTTGGTGGACAAAGGCTTCTTACTGGAGGCAGCACTAGTGCTGGAGGGAGCCATGGAAAAGTCAAGTGTGAAGAAAAGAAGGCATTAGGATGGTGGTGGGAAGAGAGAGAAAATTTATAAGGTGGCAGCATACAAAAGGTCCTGCCATGCCTCTCTTTATATGCCGGGTCAAAATAGGTCCCATCAAGGAAGTTCAAAGGCCTGAGGTTTAGACCATGCTTCCTTGATGACTGAATGGCCTTTGTGCATAGGCCCTGACTCAAACAAAGCTCACACCACCATATTGCTGCCTACTGCTGCTCAAAAGGCCACCTTGAACCACCGATCCAAACCACCCCCCACTGTGACTCATCAGGCTGTTCCAGAAGATTCCTCAACAATGGTCATGTGACTGAGGACAGTCAGTGAATTAGGCCCCCATGAGATGTGCTGCACATTTGAGTTTTGAGCTCAAATCCAACCTTTGAAAGCCTCTTTGAACAACACCTTGAACTCAGCCAGACTGGAATATTGGAAGCAAGAAGTGGACCCTAAGACATAGCATTAGGTAATGTAGATTAGATATAGATTAGTAGTAGTCTGAAGGTCCAAACTGCTCCAAACATATATAGGCAGATTTGGACACTTTGGATAGGGATGCTCAGACTCCTCTCTCACTTACTCTCAACTGCACTTGTTCAAGATGGGTGTCTCTCTAGCTTACACCTAATACTACTGCTATACTCTACAGTCACTCTTTAGTCTGGTTCTTTCCTTCTAAGATGGATCTGAGCCTTGATTTGACCCCTTTGACCTTCAAATACCTCTCATTCACCTCATTTGGCTTGTTCCCCTCTCTCTCTCTCTCTCATTTGGATACCCTTCGAATTGCTGCTCCCAGCTTCGGAGCTCACCCAGGACCTTTGGACTGGCAATTTGAGCAGCTCTACCTCAGGAGTCAACACTTTGATTAAGCCTGACCTATCTAGTGCTACCTACTATGAAGCCCAGGCCACCACTGTCAACTCCCCCTCCAGCAGACCTTCTCCTGACACCTCATAGGGAGGTGTAGAGTACAGGTCCAAGGGGGTCACTGGGAGGTCCCAGGGGGCTGTTATAAGTTGGTTATAGATAGCTGAAGAGTGTAGCAAGAGTTGTGGAGTCAAGGCAAGTTTATGAGGGCAGGGCATTTAGGTGTGTGTAGAAGGGTGTCCAAGATGATGAGATGACTTAGAAACTGCTTGTAGACTAAGGAGTTTCCTCAGAGATCAGATCTGAGGGATACAGAATCACTGTACTACTGATTATATACCTCATAGTTGTTCCCCAGAAG